CAGTGAAATCTTTTCCGGAATATACAACATATAAGTTATGTACACACATACTATCTAAAATGTGCTTTAATTGCCTCAACTGAGAGCTGCAAAACCCTTGAATTTTCAATTGTTTTTCTATTGCCATTTTCCTGAGCTTAGGTTAATTTACACCTTCTCTCAGCTACGTGTCTGAATTCTCGTCTGTCTGTGTGTCTGGTTCCTGCCAAAGGCTGTCGACAAACTTAATGACCTGAAAACTTTTCGATAATGTGTGTGGGTGTCTGTGTGTGTGTCTGTGTGAAAGTGTGTGCACGCCTGCGGAAATGATCAACTTCACGAAAAACCCAAAATGAATGGAAGCTAATTTCCAGGAAGGCGATTAGAAAGCGACCAATTTAACTGTGGCAGCAAAAACAAAAGGTTTCCGCTCTCAAAACGCTTGACAAAAAGTGGCCAGCGATAAGGCCAGACACACACAATATATTTAAAATAAGATTCTTTAAAGAATATCTCTTTCCCTATAAAAAAAAAAGCATAGGGGCAAAAGTTCCACTTCTTAAGAGTTGATTTCTTGGAATGCTGAGTTGGTTTTGAATGTGACAAAATGCAGTTTTAAAATTGATTTTGAGTAATTGAGGGATTTTTTAAAATGACTGCACAATGAAGATTTAACATCCTTCTAGACGTGTGGCTTATAATTGGATTCATAAGACAGCTCTGTTTCCTACCGATTGTTCTCAGAGGAGACAATATAATATTCCGATTTGATACGGTCTGGCAGATATCTAAGAAGATGAGTGGAAGTCGTAATTGCTTTGTTTGGTCAAGATCTCTTGAAAAACCGAAAAGTTTCTCAATAAAATCACATTTTACGGCCAATTCTGGACCAACTATCGAAACTTATCAAGAATATATATATACGGGCCATATTTTGTGACAAATTCTTAATCTTTTCTTAAATCGTTTTCTAACTTCAAAAAGTCTATTTGAGTGCTTCATTTATTGGGCTCTCTTATGATTACGATTTTTTTAATATAAGACTCCCAGCCGACAACATACGCAACTTTTTCGAAACTGAATTATTATGCCTTTGAAAAATAATTGAGCTCATTAAATCATTATATTATATTATATGGAGCATATCTTAACTTCATTCTAAAATTGTTTTATTTCTCTTTTAATGATTTGCCTCTTTCTGAGTCTTTGTTTAATATTTGTTTCTATTTTAGTTCAAGCTATAATTTATGGAACATTGGACACAATAAATGTGGTATTTGTATAAGCTATTACAAATATTTTTCTTTGGTATTTCAAGTTCTCTCTTTTTTATACAAATTCACTCAAAATGATTTCTCAGTTGTGGGCAACCCCCCACAGCCGCCCGCTGCTGTCCAGCAATTTGGCAAACCAAGTGAAAGCCACGTGACTAACATAAGCAAATACAGTTCCAGCCAATGCAATAGCCACAGCAAGTGCTCGAGAAATGTTTTGTTTGGCAAAAATCAAGATGTGTGCAGCCTCCTCCCCCCCTCCCTCGCCAGCTAACACCCAACCAGCCCTGTTGCTAGCAAGTAAGAGTGCTATAGTCGGGAGTGCTCGACGAAGAGACACCCAGGGCCGAGATGCCATGTAAAGTATTGCAATAAAATTTTATCGTATTATCAAAAATTATGATTGTAACTCCACAAATTATGAATTATAGACAGAGCGATGGGACGCATCAAAGAAGTGTATACCAGAGGATCTGAAACTTGTTTAGCCTATCGCTCATTTTCTTAATCACGTTCCTGGTGCTCCCAAAATTGTCTCAGAAAGAGTTTTATCTTGTATCTTTGCACTAAAACGGCCTCCTGTAGAAGTCTAGAGAAAACCTTGTGTATCAAATACATGCGCCTTGATCCAAAATTTGGGGACTGGCGTTCTTATAGGCTGTGAATTATGCACTAAAAAGAAGAACCTACCATCCAAATTTGAGGTCTAAAGCATTTTGAGCTCATGACTAGATCGACTTGGTATATATACTTTATTTTATTTTTGAATTTTTATACTTCTGTCCGTTAAATATATTTTCCCAAAGCTATATTACCCATTTTTAAACATTTTCAATGGGTACAGAGTTAAAAAAAACACTCGAAACCCGTTGATGGTCGCTGGTTTTTGCTGCAGCCCAGTTAAGAGCCGGTCAGGGGAGTGGGGGAGAAAGCGTTGGCAACAACCGTTGTGGCTGTTACTCAAGCCCAAATTTCGAATCGTATGTTTATCTTTGGCGTGGCCTTTGTCTAGCTGAAGTGGCGCTGGGCTGGCAGGGCATCAGGCGGGTCGGTGCGGGTGTTGTGTGTGTGTTTTTGGTCCTTTGGCGCTGTTTTGGGCTATAAATAAACGTTTAGCTGGAGCGGAAGCACGGCGACAGCTACAGCAGAGTCTGTAATACAGGCTAACAGGGGCTGTGGCAAAGAGGGGGAAGAGGGGGCAACAAGAAGAAGGGGCAGCGTGAAGGTGTGGACACGCTTGTTTTTGTCTAGCGGCAGCACGTGCTGCTGCGGGCTGCGGTCAACACGTGTGTGTGTGTGTGTGTGTGTGTACTCCCGCATTGTTGTCACAGTTTTTGCACGCCTGTTAACTAACTCGCCCAGAAGCCCATTAATAGCCACGTAATCGTCGCTCAATTAACACTGCGACCCAAACAGTACCCCCCCACAGCACTCCCCTCGCAACATTGTGGCTTTTATTTAACATGCATTTATTAGAAATTTATTAGTGCATTGCAAATTTTTACAGTGCACATTTTATGCAATTGCATAAAATTTTTACACTGGCGCCACTCGATTTCATAACTCACACAAAGTATTCCCAGCTCAATGGAGCTGGGTCAGCCTCGGAGAGACAGGGTGCGGGGCGGGTGGCAGGCTCTACTACACTTACACTGATTGGCATCGAAAGCATCGAGAACCGAGAACCTGTTGACCATTTGCATTTCATTAAGTTTTGGTCGCTCCTTTGTAAGTTTTTGTCTTGCCACTTTTTTTACTGCCTCATTTAAATTCTAATTTTATGATTGCGTTTATGTTTTTGTCAAACGGCAAGCAAACACACACACAAACTGTACATGTGTATATATTGCTATATAAAGTTCTGCTTTCTATTTATACACATTCATATATCTGTGCGGATTTTCCGCCATGCATATTCGAGTACACTCATAATTGTCAGAGACGAAGACAACTTTAGATTGTCGCTGAGATAGAGCTCTTGGCCTTTTTGATTGGATTGTGTGCCAAATGAAATAATAATCCAATCTCAAGTACCTGATCTTACATAGGTAATGCTTCCGTTTATATTAAACAGTTCTAATAAAACAAACAAGTTTGGCATGTTACTTTCACATGATATCATAGTTTTAAATTGAAGTTAAATGTTTATTGCAACTTTAATTAATCTTAATGATAGTTATGAAACTATGTTGATTTGGATATTAATTATTATATCTCAACTCCAACGGAGGGGCGATCCCTTTGCACTTCGTCAACACTATACAAATTGAAATATTTTCTGAGAAAACGCGATTCAGCCTGATAACCAAAAGTTATAAAGTAAAGTCCGGCTGATATATAATAAAAAGAAATGCAATCATCATGTCTTATTGTAAAGTTGTTGTCTATTTCAATAACATCCCCCATAATAAATTAGTTCAGAACCAGAATCTCAAGAATAATTTTAATTACATCATTTAAACGTTGTTAAACGGTTTTCAGATTAGACTCTCACAATAGCATTTCCTTAGGCTCAGATCGATGCAATAGAAGAATTTTGGAAGACTGGCGTCGAGTGATTATCATCTGTAACAGGCATCAGCTATACAGTGGAAAAATAAATGCATTTTATTTTAATTTATTTTTAAAAATAATGATTGAATATGGATGAACTATTTCAAGCATTGATATTTGCAAGCTAATTGAGCTCATCTTGTTACTCCTAGATTAATAAGAAACCAACTTCGGCATTTGGCTTTTATTGTAAATCTCAGTGTGGAGGTGTTATTCAATTATTCGATTGTGTAAGCGCATAATAATTATTCTGAAAAATAATTCTTCATCATATGGCATTATTTAAAGTCCATATAAAGATTTGGCATTTGCCCGCATCAAAAATCCAACTCATTTCCCCTGACCAGCAGATGTTGTCATAAATCTTCTATCCCCCTCGCTAAACATTTTGCGCGGGTAAAAAGTTAGCCGCACATGTGAAAATCCAAATTCTAAAAATTTGGTTTTTCTTTTCAGTGAAAAGAGGAAAATATAGAAAACAGAGAACGAAGAGAGCAGAAGGCAGCATGAGAACTGGCTGACGGCGTGCCGAGCAGGCAGCAGAGCACGACGTGGCAGAGACCGAAGCCAGACGACGGCAAAACGAGCGCTGCAAGCTGCAGGTGCGGTGGGGGCAGATTCGCTTGGAGCGCAGCCAGTTGGAATTGCACGCGACAAAGGCGCCCCATGACCAAAGGGGGCCACGACGCAGGCGGTGAACTGCGGTAGGCGGCGACGATGACGACACAAAAAGCAGTCGCAGCAGCAGCAGCAGCAGCGACAACGACGACGACGACGCAGGCAGCAGCTGTCTGTCGCTGGCTGAGGGCTTCTGCTGCTGCTGCTGGCTGGCTGGCTGGCTGACTGCGAGCAGTCGTCAGTCAGTTGGCCAAGAAACTGGTAGCGTCGGTGTTGTGAGCCAACAAAAGGCTGGCAACTGGCAATTGGCAACTGGCAGCTGGGCAGCTGGCACAGTCACCGGCTCTGGCACTGGCACTGGCACTGGGCACCGTGCGAGAAATGTGTGTGTTGGCTTTGGTGTGCCTGGTGCCCACAGGGCACAGGGGCAGCGCTTGGATTGGCTTTGGCTTTGACTTTTGAGCGACGCGTAGCCAGCCAAGAAAAGTGGCCAGCCAACCAACAAGTCAGTCAGCCAGCCAGCCAGCCAGCCAGCCAGCCAGCCAGCCAGGCCAAGCCAGCCAGCCAGGCCAAGCCAGCCAGCCAGCCAACAGCAATTACTGGCCCAGAGGTGGTGATGGTAAAGGTCCAAGATGATGAGGACGCAGCAACAGCAGCGGCAGCGGCAGCCAGTGCCAAGCAGCGCAGGATGACAGTCAAGGAATATTTTTTGGCCGCAGACGCAGTTTGATTAGCCAAGTCAAACAGTGTGCTTTGACCCTGGCCAAGATCGCCGCAATGGACGCCAATTGACAGCTCGCACACTCGCACTCACACACACACACACACACATGCATGCATGTGGCACAGTGGTGCAGTGGGGCAGCAGCAACAAGAACAGCGGCCGCTTCGCAGGATGCGTTCGTCTCGATTATACAGCTAACAATAACAACAAACTACAAACAAAAACAAATAAAACGTGTCGCGCCGCAACAACAACAACTACACGCGCTGTGCTCTATGTACATGTGTGTGTGTGTGTGCGCGTGTGTTTGTGTGTGTCTAAACCTTTTGAACTGACCAACGTGCGCCGTCAACTTTTTCGGCCAGTGCCAAAAACGACGTGCGCCAATGGAGCAACTGGCGTAAAGCCCAGAAAAAAAAAAGAATGAACCAACTGCAACTGCAACGGCAGCAGCAGCAGCAGCAGCAACAACAACAGCAAACTGCAGCAGTAACAGTAGCAACAAGAACAAGCGCAATTGTTTCAACTGGCCGCTAATGATTTGTCAGCCATGCACACGCGTGCGAAACCTCAAAGGATGCGCATCAGGCGGCAGACGCAGAGGTAGCTACGAAAATCACGCATACGCCGCGTGTGACAACAAAAAAATAACAAAAAATAATATATATACTTATATTCAACATGAAGAAAATACATAAACTTTAATTGAACCTTAAGTAGTGACTAGTGCTTAACTTTATAAAACATATTTCAAATACCGTATTACAACAAAATAAAAACAAATAAAATAAATATAACCAAAAAAAAGATGATTAGCAAACGTAGCGTTGAATACTTCCATGCCACTTATATAATCGATTACAACAAACTATGATATAACCCAACAAATATCTAAACACTAGTGCAATCTATAAATAATTGTGCAAATATACACACACTTATTAGCAGTTGATTGGTTAATTACTATTATTGGTAACTGAAAGCACTCGTAGACAATTTATGGCTAACAAAAATTAAGATTTAAATGAATTATCAGCGCGAGTTTTGTGCATCGTTGCGAAGTGACTCGTTCAAAGCCTGACCAGATCTTTGCAAAGATTAATTGTGGAACAGCAGCAGCAGCAGAAGGAGAACTGAGCTGTTATTAGAGTGGACAAATGGTAAGTTTGGCAACTCAATAAATTTGAATTGCAATTGCAAAGAATGATCCAAGCTGTGTTCATAAACATAACTTGTGTTAACAAGTGTCCACACATTAGTTAATTTATTTAATAAGAAATGTACACAAAATTAACCAATTAACCAATTTAATGGTTGCTTAAATTCGACTTTCTTAAATTTTTGTGGTACATAAATGCGCATGATCAACTGATGATCTTCGGGATTCATGCTCCTTTTCTCTGTTTCCACATATTTTCACTATTGTACATCCTAAAATTGACTTGTGCAGTTACCTAAATTTCCCACATCAATTTCAAAAATTTTCAAAACTCGAAAATTATTTATTTTATGTTTTGTGACCTTAAACGTCGGGATCCTCTTATTACTCTTTGAAGTCTTAAGCTGCTCCCTTAGCTCGGACATAACCGGAAGCCCAAAATCCTTCATATGCTAACATATATATATTCTCATATTATCTCTTTTTCATACTTCCTTAAGTAGTGTTTTTTACGCGGCCTTTGTTTTTTTTTTAAATTTATCCAATTAAGTTAGGATAAGATGCTACAAACAACCCCATTTCATTATTTACATTTTGGAAGCATTGTCAGAAATAATTGGAAATTATAAGCAAGACAAAGAGCTCGAGAGCAGATAAAGATGGGAAACTTAATGTATATGATACTTTCAGGAATTGTTCAAGTGATAACAATTCACCTCATTCATCAAAATGCAAATTGCTTTTCGAAAGTTTTTAAAAATTAAAAGGACATTATTGTGGCAAACTTGGACATATAAATGGCATATCTACTGCCTTTTCATGGCAGCTGTCACCACAAGAAGATCAGCCCATAAATGAACACATGCTTAGCTATTCCACTTCCATTCATTCCATCCCCCTCTAAGCCAAGTTCTCAAAGCCAAAAACCAACAGCCTGGCGCCACATAAATAAGCAAAATGCAGCACAAAATGACAACTTGTTAAATGCGTCATGTGGCGTGAGGGGCAGCAGGGTAGGCGTTACATTTACGGCTAAGACATACGATTTATAGGCGCTGCAAAAATGGTTAGGCACACACCCGGCCCCCTACTCTATCTATTCGGGTTTCACAGATTTCACCCTTGCTCAGACTTACTTATCCGATGTGGTTCTGGCTCAATGCACAGCTGCCACAGTGTGCCAGTCGCTGCCGAGACATAAAAATATGGTATATGGCCCAGAACCAGAACAAGAGCCCCAAACCCCGAAAATGTAACCTTAGGCATAGTGCACTTAGTGTGAAAGTGATTATTTTATGGTCAACATTTAACAAAGGAAACATCTAAAGAGCATATCAAATGCTGACCAATTAATTTAAAAATACTCGAACATGCGCTTGTTTTTCAAATGTTAATGCTTTAATTTATGAGCGAAATTGCGAATCACGTTCAATTAAAATTATACAGAAAAACTTGTACATGTCTTGTATACCCTGTAAACATAAAGTCGGCACGCAGGGTCTACTGCTGGTCTACAAGTCAAAAGGAGACCAAACATAAAATTGATTTTAAATACAATTTTTAAAGATGTTTATGATAATATGTTGGAGATGCTTCTCACACTGGGTGAAAATGGGGAGTAAAAAAGAATATATATATTTTTTGGGAGTTTTTGTTACAATCGGGTATATTGTCTGTCAGGTCGAGATCGGAAAACCCACGGAAAACTGTTGATTTCCACTTTTTAACTTTTTCTTAGATTTCCTTAAAACCCATTTTCAAATATCTCTGTAAAGTCGTTGCGAAAAAATCCACTCGCATGAGTGGAAAGGAAAGTTTTCAATCTTCCCCGCACAGATAATAGGCGGAAAATATATGCAAAAAATTAGAAGAAAACACGTAAGCCGGAAAACTCTCGCTTGCTTAAGAATGAAACCCAGTTATTTTTTATTTATGAGACGCTTAATTATCCATATATGATTCCTGCTATAGTAAAAAGCCTTGCGAGGGTGCCTACTAGTCGATCATTATTGAATTGGTAGCTCAGACTTGTGGCTGAAATTTCCGAGCCATTAAAGCAATTAACAACAACGGACTGCACTCAGTAAATTAGCTGAAGGAAGCTGCTGGCACCAAAAGTTGCTCAAAACTAACACAAAATTTAATTGTGCGCGCGATATGCAAAGGGCCAGCTACAGGACTCGCAGCGGAAAGGACATCGCGTTTCTTAATGCTTGCGCATTAATTTTAGATTTTCTCTTTTTTCTGCTCTTTTTGGCAATAGTTGAATTTTTTTTTTGCAGTTGGCATTCGCTGAAAAGGAATTTGTTGACACCAACAATGTTTCGGACATCCTGGCAAATAATTCTTGGGCCCAGGCCCCGTCTTTCCGTCTTTGGCCGGAAATTGGCAGCGAGCGCATTGTGTCCTTTCCTCTTGACTGCCTGCATATGTTCCTTGCCTTGCAGTCTTCGGCAAACAAACAATGGTCCGCCTGGTCAGCCCCGGCCAGCCAGAGTTCACACTTCCTTTTGCCAGTCCTTATCATTGACGCCAAAAAAGAGATTCTGCCAAAACGATAGCCCGTTTGCATTCGAGCACGTTTCAATGAACGGCCCAAAGATTTATGGCCCGCATTGATTTTATTGATGGCGCCCGGGCGCATTTTTAAATAAATCGAAGGCAACGCGCGACGACAAGCAATTAAAACTAATTGAATCGCCCCAAAAATCTCCCTGTGTGACTCAAAGAACATGCGATGTGACAAATAGTTGCGAAATAAACGATTTGGCTGAGGACGACAATCCAAATACAACTAAAGAGTTTTTTATGTTTCCTTCGTGCAGATGTAAATTTCTGCACTAGACTCTTTGTTATTTCTTAAAAAAAACAATACGGATTTTATTTTAAACAGGGAGGAACGGATAATGTAAAGGCATTTACCTGACGGTTTTGCAGAAGGAGATATCTTCTAGATAAGTTTTGATATAACAATTTTGTCAAACAAAAACTCATTTTGACACCGTTTCCTCAAATAATATGATGTAGAAGTCCGATGCTAATAGGAAGTTAATTTCCGACTAACCATTACTCAAGCAGCTGTATGATATCCCTATCCACCCCGTTCCGACATACATATATACTGTCTGTAACAGAAAAGACGGTCTTATGCAAAGATTCATGAAAAAGCTTTAAAACTGGTTTGCATGGAATGAGACGAACAGACAGACGGACATGACTATATCGACTAGGCTGTTCAGACTGAGATCTAAGATGTCTGCAGGCGATTAGGGTCAGTTACAGCTTTTAATGTGCCTTCAAAGATCATTTTATATACTAACGTATATGTTATAAGAGTATTCAGCATCTCTAATATTATTATAGGGACCTCAAGATTTGACGATCTAATTTATTCCAAATGATTTCTCGCCTTAGTCCCACGCAATTGTTTTAAACCTATTTACAGATTGGGTCTCCAGATGAAAAGCGGGCAGCTTATAATGGCTACAGCCACCAAATTGAGGACGTAGTCTCGTAGAGTATACACAGATCCCGAATATTCAACATAACATACCTCCCACGTTCGCCTTAAATCTAAAAACAAAAACACTTATACACTTGTGGCGTGAGAGGAAGAAAGATATGCTACTTGCTGACGCTCGAATCTATTCAGCTAGCTTTTCGATTTAGTGGAGTCAACAGCTAAATACTAGCTAAACCTATAATCGATCGATGATCAATTGATAAAGTCAGCAATTCTTTTGTTCAATTAACTAGATCTAATTTGACAGTTCTTAAAGTATCTTATTTCTTTTGAATGATATTCAATTGCCACTGCCCCCTGGGACCATCGTCCAGCTAGCAAGTGCCATTCGAATTGTCTGTTGAAATTATGTTTTGGGTTGCAAAAGTCAGTCGCCATAATTTCCATGGCGTAGACATGGCAAATAAAACAAACAAACAAATAAATCGCCAAATTATTATTTGGTCCTGTGACTCCTGCCTCCTGCCTCCTGCCACCTGCCTCCAGCTGTCGGCCTGCTGCAACCGAAGCTGAGGCAACCGAAAATTTTTATGCGCCGCTTCAAAACAAAACTTTGTCTGCGCCGCGGTCGCTGCCATTGTCCAGTCATAATGATTTACTCGATTTGCATATTTTTGCACTTATAAAAATGCACAAACGATTTTTCATTTTCTTGAAAACTTATTAGTGCGGCGCGGCGATCCTTTGATGACCAAAAAGGAAGCCGACTGTAGTTTTTTTTTCGTCTATTTTTATTATTATTTTCTGTATATTTCTGTAATGATGCTGGGTTATTTATTTGTTATGCATGAGGCTTGAACATTTTGGTGCTGCCAACGCGTTTGGTTGGGGGCGCATTGCGTATACGCCCTGGTGTCGCATTCGTCTAGCGCTTGTCTGCAATTTGCAGCGCCTACAAGTCTGCTGCAGCATTTTCTTGGTACAGCTCCAAGACATTCGACTTCCTGCTTCCCAAATTGGCACACATTGCCAACAACTGGAAGACAACAACAGCAACAAAACATAAACATAGACGCAACTGCGTCTGGCTGCCAACTTGGCAGCAGCGACGCATCCTGAGTGTGTGTGCGTATATGTGTGAGTGTGTGTGTGAGGAATGCGAGAGGCTCGTGTCGAGTTGGCCGCTGGCCACTGATGGGCGGTGGGCGCCACTTGGCACTCTCATTATGATTTTAATTGCTGACGCATACAAACAAACATTGAGTTTTTCTTTTTCTTTTGACGAGTTGCCCAGTTTGACAACGTCATCAGTTGTTGTTGCGCTCGATTGTTTATTGGCCAAAAGCACTTGGCTCTGGCAACAGGTTTCCAATTATCATGATTATGATTATAAGTATTTTCTACACACACACATACATATTTGTGTAATGACGCTTTGATTGGCTCGACCTTGACCAAGAGAATCCGTTGGCCATCGTCAACGACTTGTAAAATTTATTGGCCAATATTCAGGCAAATTTCTATTTTCATTTTCATTTTCAATTTTTTATTTTTTTTGTGTTTTTGGCCGCACGCCGTTTTGGCAGCAGTTAATATTCAAGTTCTGTTTGCCAATTTGCTCAGTTTTCTATTTGATAGTTGTTCTCGTTGTTGTTGTTATTGTTGCTCGCATTTGTTTATTTGTTTTGATTGACATTCAGTTGCTCAGTTGTTGACGCGTCGTCGTCCGCGAAAGTTGCCGGCCCGCACAGTTTCCCTTTAGTTAACTGGAGCTTGCGGCCTTCCCATTCCATTCCTTCCACTGCGGCTGCAGCTGCCATCATGGAACTTGCCACCAAAAAACACAAATTTTTCGCTTTTGCCACACATAAATCACATAAATTGTTGCTTTTGTTTTTCGCCTCTTAAAATCGTTTTCGTTTCGTACAAAAATGTGTGCAAAAATTATTTGACAAAGATTTTAGTTTTATTTACGTAAAAGAAAGTTCATTCTTCATTTGAACGAATTATTTCGGGTGTTAACCTCTTAATAAAAACTGTGTTTTTCTGTGGAATTATATTAATTATAAATAATACTTAAACGTTTTTCCTTGGCATTATGCCAGTTTCTATTGAATTGATATTTCTCATCACTTTATCAGCCATTCACAATTTGTTCCTGATTAACAATCCCAACGGGTCAGACTTAGCCATTGTGTTGTACTTTTTTATGTGAATAATAATCTTTACTAAGCCTGGTTGAACTTTAAGGAAAATAATAGATAAATTAGGCTATTTTATATAAATAATTATTTTACCATGTCGAACTTTAAAGAAAATAATAGATACATTAAACATTACTAAGTCGTTTTCTGAATTTTAATATTCCCTTTTGATTAGTTCCTATGTCACGCAATCTTCTCATTGATCCATCCCTCAGCACACATTCAGTTTTTTTACCCTTGAAGAAAGTAATTAGATTTTGTCACATAAAATGAGACACCTCCGACCCCAACATCAACATCTCCGGCCATCAAACGATCAGCTGATATATCCGTCTCTAGGTCCGTCCGTCTGTCTGGGTTTTAGATTAATCTTAAGCTGATCTGTCTTTCCGTTGCAAACAGGGCAATTATCAAAACCTGCCGGATCGGGCAACTATATCATAAAGCTAACGAATGATCGGTGGAAGTTTAAGTTTAAGTGCTTAAATGTAAAACGTTTTCATTCTTCAAGCTATCTTGGTCAAACTTAAATCTAAAGAGATTTACTGTGATCTTTAAGTATAGCTTTAAAGTAATATGGAATTTATAAATATCTAATGGCCCCTATAGGAACAGTCGGTTAAAAGTTAAAATTTTATATAAAAGCATTTAAGAGCTATATGTCTACAAGGGTATTTAATCTTCGGCCTGCTGAATATAGCCGTTGTTTCAGTTTTTAAATTGTTTATGTGATTGTTATTTCTTTTTAGTTATTTCACACAAGATTTTTAAGACCATAATAACGACAATTAATACGCTAAGATACATATGTACACACGTGTGTGTATATATGCTCGTAATTAAGATACATATGTACACACATGTGTGTATATATGTTATGCTCGTATCTGTTTAATGAACAACTCTCGTATTTTAAAGTGACAGCTTCTGTCTTACTGCATCGCATTGGCATCTTCAAGGTATACGTGCAAAATAAGAAATATTCAAATTAAAACTAGAAAAACTAGCACTAATTACAATTTGTGCCGCCGCCCTATAGACAGAACAGACAAATCCCAAAGACAAAATACATTTTCGATGAAAAACCAAATAATGAAAACCAAAAAAAAAAAAGAAATGCAAAAACCGAACAACTAACAAAATGATGAAGCACTGAAATAGATTAGGCGAAATACACAAACAGCCGTAGCCGTATCTATATATCTCTATATGTATCTCTTTGTATGCATCTGTATCTGTATCTGTTTTTCTATGTGATATACGAAAATAGACGCGACAGCGACGATACTCGCGCGATTTCAACGCGTCTTTGCCCGCGTCAATTGCGCGTCATCGCCTCGCCCCGCCTCGCCTCGCAGATCGGCGGACAGTATATAACATCAGGAGCAGTCCGAATACTATTTATATATAGATGATGTATTGGGTATATGCGGGCATGTACTGCTTATGTGGTATATAAGGGCCTTCTGGCGACAGTTCTGCGCAATTTTTGGTCTGTGCCTTTCGCTTGTCGATCTTCGCTCCCGTCAAGTGTGTCCGAAAATAGCAAGGTAAATGAAAAATCTACAAACAAGCGAGAAAAATCGAAAATCAACCCAAAAACAAAAAGCCCCAAGAAAATTGGGGAAACAAAAAAATCCGCTTTTAGCTGCGGAGCAAAATAAATAAAAGCAAATTTGCCCGATTCACAAACAGCGACGAAATCTAGAATAAAACAATATACAAAATCGAAATTTGTTTAAAACGTCAAAGCCTTTGGTAGTTTTTGCGTCGTCCGTGAAACATTCTATATAGCACAGATCCCAAGCATGGTATATACAATTTGTACATATACACAGCGGGTATGCGAAATGGGTAGAATTATTCATTAAATAATATTGCCTGGTTTTTATTAACAATATAAAATATGTTAGACAAAGGCATATTAAATGGTCTGCACTTTTATGGCCGCATTTTTGGGTCTTTATTAATATTATAATTATATATATTTACCAATTCTTTATAGAAGCTTTGTCTTAAAAACCCTTTTCTAATTGATACAAGATATTTGGTGAGTTCGGATGAAAAGAAAACAATTTCAAATGTTTAAGATCAAATATACTTTTCTATTTAAATTTGGTTGAAAGTCAACTTGAAAGCACTTTTACTCAACTTAATATATTATTTTATTTTAAAACTCTTAGAATCTTAATTGAAGTGAAATTTATTTGCTTAGCTAATAAGGTTTCATTCAAAATTATCACCTGGACCATAATCGAATAACCGTTAAGAATTTTCAAAGCACCCGAAAGCTTCAAGCACATTTTAAAATATTAAATGAACAAAATACAGGTGCCTTCCAGCCAAAAGCTCTACCAATGCACTATGAGTTCAATGGGCTCGCCCAATTTTAATACTAATTAAAAATACATTTCTTTCAAAAAATACTTAAGCACTACAACCTAGAAGCACATTTATTAACTTAATAAATTTAACTTAATTAATTTAATTATACGAAACTTGTGTCAAAAAGTAACCACCTCCTAAAATGTTAAGGGACAACTTTTGGAAGCTAAATCGAATAACAGCAAACAAGTTAGAAGCACATGAAAGCTTGTTTCAATGCATTAACTCACAACAATTAACCTGTCTTAATGTTCTACCTAAAGCACTATAACCTAGAAGCACATTTATTAACTTAATAAATTTAACTTAATTAATTTAATTATACGAAACTTGTGTCAAAAAGTAACCACCTCCTAAAATGTTAAGGGACAACTTTTGGAAGCTAAATCGAATAACAGCAAACAAGTTAGAAGCACATGAAAGCTTGTTTCAATGCATTAACTCACAACAATTAACCTGTCTTAATGTTCTACCAATGGACCCTGAATGCCAAAGTGATTGCCACAATTTTAATCCTAAGTATAAATATTTACTTATCTTTATAAATAAACTGGATTGCAAAGTATTTAGGGAAGATGAAAAACTTGATTAAGCCAAACAATTTTGAAAGCACATTAAAGCTTTTGGCGCATTGTTCATCTCTTTATGTACACAATTAAGCTAACTTGCAGGTAAAAGCTCAGCCCTAATGAGTACCATTTACTATGTGCACTTTTACAACAACAAAAAATTGTTCAAAAATGTAATTTGGCTTAGCATCCAAACATTCTATTGGATGACATGAGTTGAAGCTATTTTCAAATATACACACATGCAAACAGCAAATGTTCACACCTATTGTCGAGTAAACACTTTGCCTTTGTGGCATGTGTTGCATAACGCCTGCCACAGACCGCCCAGAAAACTACTCCTGTCATGTTTGACACGCTGTTATTTTTAGCCAAGCACTTTGACTCGCACACAGAAGAGATGCAATCTCTTAGATTTTAGTTACCCACTATACTCAATAATAATCTATTAGAAACCGGACTAAAGTCGTAAATTAAGTGGCGAACAACTGAGCAGCTGTTCAATTGGCAATTAGGGGCAATTGCTGCCCTTGTTGTTTTGAGAGTCAATAAATCAAGACATAATTAACACGTGCGCTCTGTGCGAAGATGGTAGATGCTTGATGTTGGATGGGTTAAGGAATTGCCTGGAATGGATAAATATCTGGTGGTCACAATTGGCAGCTGTTCAATAGCACAGTTCCGGGGCCAATGGCGTCAGCAGCCCTGACCTCAGTTAACTAACCGAGCTGAACAGCAGAAAAATGAAGAGAGAGAGAGACGGGGGGGCAGGGGCAAGATCGACGGCCCAGAATTTTCCTTGGCAGACAGTTTGTCTACTCATCCAGAAACTTATTGGCAAAACTCCATGATCATAAATTATGCAGTCCAAATTTGTTTACGCGCCAACGCGGCAGGTGGCGCTTTAATTACAGTGTAGAAGCAGTTAGTGTGCGTGTGAGGCTACATTTGTGTGTGTGTGTGTGTGTGCTTGGGGAAATCCCAGGACGGCTGCCAAGATTCCTCAGCACGCAGCAGCATTACGCAACAACAGAACTTGAGAGCGAGAAAAGTTCATTGCCACTGAGATTCTTTGGAAGCGAGCGTGAGAAAATCTCTCGAGATTTTGGCAACCTACCATCTTGGCAAGCGCCCATTCCCATCGTTGCGTTGTGGTCTAAGAGAACCCCCTCCCCTCCCCCTATTCTCTTTCCCTTACCAAGCCAGATGAGGGCTGAGAAGTCCAAAAGCCATGACGTATTTTATGCAGCTGTATCTCTTAGGAATGGTGTGTCCATCCAAGTGTTACAATCTGAAAGACTTACATAATTAAATGAATCTTAAGCATATATCTATACGTTCTCTTACTCCTCCAAATCGTACTGGTTACATATAAATTTTAATTATAAGCTGCCTTGTTCTTACATTTTCGGTGCGCGATAATTCATAATTCTGAGTTTACTGAAAGGCAATAATTTTATAGGCATTTTATATACATGCATAACCAAATTTGAATAAAAGTACAAATAACACAAGCAAAGGAATATGTTGAAAACTAGCAGACAATATTTACGTTTTAGAATTCATTGATCTATCATTGATCAATATTCATTTGATGAACCAAAGGTATAAAACATGAACCCCGACAAAAATTGTCTAGGATTGTAGGTAATTTTGCCCCAATTTATGCCCAATGAAAAGTGAACTAGGTTGCATTAGGTTGATATTTTGCCTGAAAAGTCTATTTCTGCCCAATATTAAGGCAATATATAGTCTAAAAAACAGTCAATTCGTATATAGATGTTTTCCATTTTGTCTCAAATAACTTTTTATCTAAAAATGTGGGTAATGTTTCCTAAAAGTCAGAACTACGATTTTATAAAATCTTATTAATACTTATTTTCATTGTAGACACTATTTCAAGATTAAACCAAAAAATATTATTTTTGATAAAGCTTCTTGTGTGTACATGCAAAATGAACAGAAACTTAAAAATTTCGATTGCAAGCGGAAAATACATTAACTTTTACTTATTTTATTTATTTATTTATTTTTATGCTATTAAAAACATGTTTAGGCACATCCCATTTTGCACTCACACTCGCTCGAAGAGGATGTTATTGTTTCTAGAAAGTTCTCTTTATATAATAATAGCTTATGAAATTCCTATATCATCTTTCTGTTTACTTATTTTTCTCTCGTGGAGCCAAAGTGTGACTACAAGCATGTTTATCCACCTCCTTCTTACTCACTCATATTCACGATTTCTCTTTCTCTTTCTCTCTTTGCAGCGATGCGTTAAAGGAGCCTCGTTGGCCAATTGGCAGCCACGGCCGCTGCAGCTGGTCCTAGGCCTGACCAACCAATGGCAGCGCAGCGGCTAAAAGTTCAAGTCGGCAGCAGGCAGCGTTATGCACTTGGCAAACGTTCAAAGCACACACACGCACACACACGCAGACACACAGCTAAACACATATACAAGGCCACACACACAAACAAGCAAATAGAATTTGATTGCTGCGCTCACACGCGCATGGGAAAAACCGTTGATAATAAATCACGCATACGCCTGTTTGCACAGCAAAAACTATTTGCAGTTGTGTGCGACCATGTGTGTGTGTGTCTGTGTGTGTGTGTGCTTCGTGACTTGCACAGGCTGTTTGCCAACTGCAGTGCGGTGCTCGTTTCAACCCGGCTCGAGCGAGTTGGCGGCAAGACAATTGCACGAACGATGCCTCCTTTGCAGGCAGCGCATTGGCCTCCCCACCCCTTTGCAGGACGCAAGACGCCAGGACGACCAATCAGAGCGAGGCTTGTGCGCAACGCCGTTGGCCCAACCAGAACCAGAACTCAGCGATGCCAGCACCCAAGCCGATAACCCATTTTTGTATATACTATAAGCGAATTTTCTCGATTTTAGTTCAGTTTAAGTTTTAATTTCGAACTATTTTAAGTCACATGCCCAAAGCCTACGCCCACAAACAACAACAGAAGTGGGCGTGCAATACCTTACTTATGAATACGATATATACAGATATATTATTACTTAAGAGTTTGAACCAAGATGATTGCAAAATGCGTAAGAAAAAGAATAAAAAGTTGTAAAGCTTCCGAGCGGAACGCAAAAAAAAAAAAAACAAGAAAATAGATTTATCCTGAGATCATCTTTACTGCAATTGAGAAATGGGAAAATGTGCTTAATGTTACGCCGTGTTTTTCGAATCGCCGTAACGCCATTTCAGATGCTTGCTGATTAAATAGGCCTGAGTTAAAAATACAACTACGTTCACTGAGAGCAGACTGTAGTTTTTGGGAATGATGACCACAGAGTATCGAGACCAGATTAAGCCGGTTGCTGCCAATACGCTCGACTGGTTGAGGGATACATTCTCAGGCGGTCGCTGCAGGATGTCTCCGATTCCAGCAAGAACGAGGAGCTTGAGACGGAATTGGCTAATCTGAATTGAAAGGCTTTGTTATAGCTCATCAAACTTACCCATTTACCGAAAGGCCCCCAGAAGAATACTGTTTTCGGACCTAAATGGTATAGGCTTTGAATTAGTGGCAGTTTAGCGAAACTCTTCGCAATTCGCACCTGCCGGAGATTCCCATAGGGGCCTTGCCGCTTGAGGCACAACGTTATCAACAGAATGGATTATCAGGTTGTATAATTTAGAAAGAGGTCCTGTTCCTTTCGACATGATGCCAATATCAAGGTACTATTTTTGAATTTGTTCTATTTTTGAATTTGGAAAATTTTGTGGATTCTCTCCGAGTTATGTGGACCCTGTCCTACCGATTATATTTGTTGAATGAATTTCATAATTCATGGCAGACGTGATAAGCTTGAATATTGATAGACTTTGTAACTAAAAGGTAAAGCTAAGAAAACTTCCAAGCAAAGGGCAAAAGTAAAACCATAACTCAAGTATATATATATAATTATTTTATTTTCCCTTCTGTGGTCGTTTTTATTAAAAACGCACCAATCTTCCATGGCTACCACCAGTCGTCACTAAATGGTATAAAATGGTGCGGATGGTAGAATACAACATTTTTTGCATTTTCACTTCGCCATTTCAGATGTTTGGCAACTAAAAAGCCCTGTGTTAAAAGTACAACTATATTGACTGACAGCAGACTGTAGTTTTTGGGTATAATGACAACCGAATAGCGGGACCAAATTAGTCCGGTGAGCGCGAGCACGCCCGACTGATTGAGGGACACATTTTGAGGCGGTCGTTTTACAAGATCTCCAATTCCAGCAAGCACTAGACCCTAAATCGAATAACATAACACATATACACTTCTCTTTATTAAATAAATCGATCAATCATCGTCTAACTCACCCACTTGCCCAGAGGTGCCCAGAAGAACACAGTCTTTGGACCTAAATGACAAAGACATTAAATACGAAATTAACTATTTGTAAGCAATGAGTGCACGCACCTGCCGGTGATTCCCAAAATGGGCGCGCGCCTTTAGGTACCACTTGATCAACGGCATTGATAATACCGTTGTAGAGTAATGAGAGAGGTCCCTTTCCTTTCGACATGATATCAATATATAAAAATGCTATAGTTTATTTGTTTTGTTTGAATTTTGAAAAGGCCTAAATTGATAAACACTACACCATGTCGGCTACATATACGACAAAATAATAAAATATTATATATACATGGCAGTTCAGATAGTTCTCTGAGTGAATAGTCCTACTTGGATTGCTTTTTGACGACACCGAAACCAGATGTTTAAGCTCAAGCGTGATTATGTGTGTGCGGCTTAACATATAATTATTACATTTTTTATTTTTGTTTGAATTCAATTGACTAAACCTTTTTGAAACGCAAATTCGAGCAACGTTTACGCGGAATTGAGTGCTTGCGAACAAATTGAGTAAGTGGTGAATAAAATGATTTGTTGTTTGGTCACACTCAGATTCCGAACAGCTGTTTGCTTGTGAACGCAACGTGTGAATGACCAGACGCTATTGAAATTTTAAAGTTAATTGAAGTGTTGTGATTTGTGTAGTGTTCTTTCTAATATATGCTATTATTTAGATTATATAGAAAGACTTAAAATTACTGCAGCTTTTGCTTTTGCTGTAATCTGATTTAACCAGTAAAATGGAGTTATTACGAGAACGACGTCAAATTGCGGTTAATCGCAGGAGGTTGAAGAGAATGCCCATTAATTTGCAGAGGAAAGCAATTAGAGAGGCGCGCAACTTGGCGGGCATGCAACAGCGACAACCAAAACGCAAACAACTCGCCAAATCTAGAGCAATTTTAGACCGCTTAGGAAACGATTTTGAGCGAGCGGAGCATAATGCAATATTAGCCGCCAGCTCCCAGGAATTACGGCAGATTTTGTCTGAGTTCGAAGAGCTGGGAGATGTGCCCCACGATCCCACAGCAGCTGAACTTTTAGGCCAGGTAAGTGAACAGCAAGAGAAACGAACATTAAGGTGGTGCTTAGCAAGCAGCAATCTCAGAGCACAAATTGTGATCCCGTGACGTCACAATATTCGCGCAACTAGCGCCACCTTACTCTCCGATCGGCAACTCAATTAGCACGCTGCCTCGTTTTCGTCACAATCCATTGTTGGGTGACCTACTCCGGTGAAGCTGTTAATTGATAGCCAGAACAAATGTTATGGCAGCTGATGTTACCGTTAACTGTTCTATGTATATTTCATAATTACAGATTGCCAAAGCAGAGGGCCGTGCGACATCGATCCACGTGCAACGCGACGGACTTAGCACGCTCGACATTGAGGTAATGCAGCTATTTTTTATCTAAATTTAGGTATTTTCGCAGAACGTCAGCCGCACAGTTCTAATTTTATTATTTAAAAAATAATATTTTTACATTCGCGAAGCTGTTTTTAATTGGATTCCGTTACTTATTTGAAGCGGCAGTTGGCAACACTGGTCGGCTGTTCAGAATCGGAAGCTCTCAATTGACCCCACAACTCCCAGCTACCTTGCGCGCAGCTGTTTGCACCCGATTGCCATTCAATTGAATATGCATATACATACATACATATATATGTAGCCGTTTTCGATCCATCAATTTGATTAATGTCCAATTCGCAAGGTTCTTTTGTAGACGCTAGTGAAATTTCCGCTGTCAATGTAAACACTATTTTATTTTCATGCAAATAGCGTCATTTGAAAAGTGGAACAATGAAAATAAGAATTAAAAGGAGAAGAGAGAGAAATTCTTGCAGCTTCATGTGGTCTACAGAATTTGAATTTTTTTTTATAATTTGAATAAGAATTCTTTTATATTGTGGTATATCTTCGGTCTCTACCATCGCCATAACATATACATTTATTAAGTTATCCAAAATTAAGTTCCTAAAAATTTCATTCCGATATTAATGCATTTTTCCATATAATTATATATATAATGTTTAAAGCTTATTTGCATTTTTTCAATTAGTAGTTCCTATAACAGATATATGAGTGTTCCAACATGAATTCAACGGGTATCTTTTTTCGCGACACAATTGTTGAAGACTTCTAAATTATTCAAATAAAGATAGGGTTCATGCCGACGACAGCTACGAAGGAATATAGCAAAGGAGAGTCCTAAACAGGAGAATTATTTCATGAAGAAAAAATGCTTAATTATTACCGTATCTTATTCCTTTAATATAGCCATATTGTATGTAAATATATCAGAGTGTTTACTTATGCTTAACCAGCTCTTAAATTTGCTGTACTCTTAATCCACAACTCTAAAATTCTCACATTCTCTAATTCTCACACTCTGCATTTTCATTGATATTTCAGCTCCATCAGCGCTCTCCGACGATTGCCCAACTGAAAAAAGCGATCGCCACGATCTCGTGCGCTCAACTGAAACGAAGACAGCGCGAACAACTTCGTGGGGTAGCCGAAGACGCTGCTGGCCGGGCCGAAGATAGTGACCGACAACAGGTTGTGGGATCTGCTGGAGCTGAAGCCATGCCGCGCTCCAGTGGCGAATTAGTTAACTCGGCGCTGCGCAACGGGCACCAACATCGCGCGCTTGTCTCTTGGCGGTTTCTATGGCGCTGCTTTGCACTGTTCAACGTGGACACCAATCAGCCGATCGATGACAACGTTGACAACGGACGCGCGACTCTAACGGCGCTGGGCATTGAGAACGGGGCTAACTTGAAGTTTGTGCATCGCGTCAAGTATTTCGGTCGCCGGCGGCAGAGCTAAAAAGAAATAAAAAGGAAATTCTTAAAGTTGCCAAATGAACAACAACCTGAACTATAAGCTTGCCCAAAACCAGAGCTTTATGAGACCATAATGAATCAAAATGTACAAATTTTTGGCATTCTGCTGCTTTACACTTTTGTGCGGCTCTTGGCAGCTGCCGCTTTTGAGGATGGCAACAACAACAATGTCAAGATTACCAAACATAGCCTGGAGCTCACTCAAACGATCAACATACAGCGTCAGGAGTTCATGCAGCGACAGTGTGAACTGTTGGATGCCAACAGGCAAACTGTGGATGATCTTACCGAGCTACAAATGGATCACATGATTGTGGATAAGGAGCACAAGCTGCTCTACTGCTATGTGCCCAAGGTACTTACTTCTCCATATACTTATTCAACCTATTCAAATTTCGCTGCGTCAGCTTTGAACACAAAACTTTTCTGACTGAAACCGAAATTTTCAGAATTTTATTTTTATACCCTGTGTCAATTGAAACTGCATAAAAGGGGTATAATAGTTTAGTGCAATTTTATTTAACAGACAGAAAATACTTTGATCTTAAAAAGTGCCAGAGCAGATCAGGACATGACCGTCTGTGCGTCAGTACGAGCTTGAATATCGGAAACTATAAGAGTTAGACAGAATAATAGACAAATAAGAATATACGCATTGTCTTTTCGATATTTCCCCTATTACATAAAATCGATTGTGAAACAAGATATCTTAGGCATAACTAGGAGATTACAAGAGCAAAAACGAAAAGGATATGTAGATTTTTGTATGACTTACTCAGTTTATAAATAGTTCATTGGATACTTCTCCCATTTCCCCAAAATGCACAGCCAGGAACACGGGAAGACGCGTGCGCCTTTTTGTTTATCTGTAGATCAGCAAATTGACGGCCTGGGTACAGGGTATCTCTTGGTCGCGCATTGCCAACTAGAAAACACTTTATATTTGTTCTATTCTGACTGCGCGTTTCGCCATGTGTGGTTTTGCTCCCTTCCGCTTGCGGCCGTCCAGCGTGGTGCGACCCTTTGTGAAATGCCTCTCATCTGTACATGAAATAAACTTGTTTTATTTTTTGCTCCACGTTTTCTCTTTTACTGGCCTGCTGACATTTGATGCTCCCCCCAGAGGCAGCGCCACAGCAACCACAACAGCTCAGACCGGCCCCCAACATTGTTGGACTGTTGTTTATTCTTGCCACATGTGGCATGATAATTGTTGAATCGATTATGTGTGATTGTGTTGCTTTCACCAGACGAGTTTAACCAGACAACAAGACTGACTACAAGTAGTACAAGCTGATTGCTAGTCTTAATCCCGCACCACTTGGTAGGCTTATCAAGAGACTATGTCAATCTTTGATTTGCTTGGCAATTCGACGCCATGTCTGTTATTGAGGCCAATTTCCATAGTACTGGCGTAGATAACCACATAACCTTCTATAAATTTCTGTGCAATTATAAATTATATAGCCATAAATGCATTTATATACCTTGTAAACTAAGTTTCGACTGGGTATAATCCGCACTTGCATGTCGTTTTCAAAATATACGAATGCAGTGTCTGCTGCGCTTTCAGATGCAGCTCAGATTTTAATTTCTGCAAAATTGGTTTATTCAAGGATTTAAATTTGATAAAATAAATATATGATCTATTGTATTTATAGTTTACTTTAGAGTACTTTAGAGTTCCTTATACATTTTTAATCAATAAATAAGAGGGCATACTTAAACTGAGGTCTTGTATGTGGATCAGTTCTGAAAGATACTCAGAATTCAAAAAACCCGAATCAATTTAATCCCCCACACAGCTTACCCTTAACAGTTTACAGAGTATATCTGAGGTCGAGTTCACCTTATATTCTCCATATATGCAAATTGCGTTTTAGTGGAGCGCCTGACAATTATAAGTTATTATAATCAGTGTTTTGTAATTTGTTGTAGAATTGCCGAGCAATTTGCATGGGTTCAAAAACACACGAGAGCTGTCTCTGAGTGTGTCAGATCGAATGCCGAAGTGCTTGTCTTCGCGACTGTCTGCCGTCCCGTCTGATCGATAAGCCAGGCACTTTGTTTAAATCAGCAAATATTCTAATTGAGATACACTTTTTCACAATTTGTTTGCTTATCTGCGCGAATTTAATGGGCCCATTTAATGACGTCCACTGGGGAATATCAAAGTTTTTGCCTTTATTAATTAAATTTCGATTTAAATAACCCACTCGATATGAATCTAGACCTTAACTAAGCTAATTCAATTGAAGGAAATTTAGCAGAATGTGGAATTCTCAAAAAAACACAAAAACCAAAAACCATTTCCTCCACTTGCCGCTGCTATCAAATACCGACTTATGATATAGTATTAGACGAACTATTTGATTAGATTAACCAGCCAACAGAACTGAATTGCTCACCTGTCGAAGGTGCGGCATATAAATAGCGTTGTGTTTCATGTGTCCGACGCACTTTGAACCCTCGCCCAACATAATGAGCTCTTTTTTTTTGGTTGTGGTGGAGTGAGGGGTATGCTCAGATTGCGGCTGTTGAGTAATGCCAATGGGCCATGCCGTGCCATGACGTATGCCTCTTGATTGTGGCGCCACTTTGTGAGTTCGACACCTTGTTTACTCTACATTTTGGAGCTGTATGGGCTGTATGTATGTAAACGAGAAACTTCTTTATGTTAGAATTGTTGCTCAAATTGAGTTTCTGACATTCTTGTGTCGTTCTGTTAATAATAAAAATCGAACTTATGATATGCACCTTTAAATATGCTCTACAAATAAGAGAACATCTTGAAAGGTTACAAAGAGGGAACTTATCCAGTAGGAAATAATGTTAGATCGCTTTAAAAACAATTTTATGCTACTACCGAGGAGGTAAGCGTAGGGACTTAAAATTAGTTTGACTTAAAACTAGGGATAAACACGATAAATATACCTTCGGCATGCCGATGATAATTTACCCTTACAGTCATATACAAAAGCTTTCCTTACGATCGATTGTTCCTATAGGAGTCATATAATATATTAGTTAGATTCTGTACAGCTAAGCAGATAATTTAGGTTAATAAGAAGTTAAAAAGAAGACAAATATTCCATACTCATTTTTTGATTCATTCCTCGTACAGAGCTTTGTAGTAGTCCGATATTCATACGATATTGCTCATCGTGTGCTCAAGATAATTTTGTATTCAAAGAATTTCTTTTTGACTATACGATAAAGTAATTTGATCCGGCCCGTTCCGACATATGTACTGCCTGTAACATAAAGGAGGACTGGCATGACTATATCAACTCGGCTGTTGATACTGATCATGGATATATACTTTATGGAAAGCCGACCTTTTCTTCAATGCATTACACATTATAATACCCCCGACAAGGCTTAAAGTCCATATAGCACCAAACAAAATAGCTAAGAATAGGTCTCATTATCACAGATCGTGTTTCAATTAGCTAATTAATGAGTACTTCGCTATGAGGTTGGCAACAGTGTATGGTGAAAATGTGGAAGCTATATTTGAAAGACCACCGCGTTCACCTGTCGCATTGACAATCGCGGTACGAATCGATTGCCGGAGTGGGTGTATCGTGTTGTATGACATGCTCGCGATCATTTCTTTTTGCTTTTATCAGTTACTACTGGACAGGGGCGTAGTTAAGAGATCTCAGCTTGCGTTGAGGGGGGGCATTCCTTTGGGTAAAACGTAGCGCGCTTCTGCTTGACCGCGTTCCACGAAGACGTTTACGTGTGCTATTAACCCCACTGTCCACTCCTCTGTCAGTGAAGAGCTGAGCGTTTTTATGCGACCATCGCGTGTAGTGCTTAATGTGCCTTTTATAGCCCAAAGAAATTGTGTAAAATTGTATTTTATGATCGCTTGCGTATTGCAAATAATTTTAACGTATGCGCATTGTGTTCGAAAAACGCTGAACCTGAACCTTTGCCGCGATTCGTTGTTACCTGTGGCATGCACAGTGGATCGCGGTCTATTGATAAACACAAACGTAGCAGCCGGATTTGAGCTAACTAAAAACCAGAAACCAAAACTTAAACACGATTAGTTGCATAAAGAACAGCCGAACCAAAACCTGAACCAAACCTTCGATTTCCAAGAATACAGTTTGGCTTAAGATCATATTTTTTAAGCTTTCGACAAGCTCTAACAAAAAGTTGTTAGTTCTTAATATGTAAATATATAAAATGTAATATATAATAGATTGCGACCGGTTCGAACCCAAATCTTGGTTAACAGAAGTATAAAGTTCAGTTTACGAACCGAACCTTAAGGCAGGATGTTGGTTTTAATCAAGGCTTCTAAATCTTCTAGATTTGAAAGAACAGGCTCAAGTCCGGATTCCCAATATATTTTCACCATAAACCGAAGTCTAAACCAAGTTATTTGTTTAAGAATAGCTGAACCGAACCTTTCCAGGCAAGAACTGCCTTGGTTCGAACCGTAAACTAAACCACCGACAATGTTTAATTTCCGCAGCTATATTTTTTTCTGCAGAGTTTCAATATGTTTTGTTCAGGTGGATATTTGACTTTTATCTGACAACTTGACATCGCTCAAGTGTAGCCTGATGGCCCGTGGCAGGCTGCGCACCACTGTGGCAGCAGCAGCAGCACTTGGTCCGTAGTTTTTCCTGTGTGTTGTGTATACGAAAATTGTTTGTTTTTGTGATTTGAAATGTTTTTGTAGCGTTTAATTACACTCGACATTGTCGGTCGGTCGGGCTGCCCAGCCTAAGCGAAATGTTTATATGGCTAGTTGATTTGTTGTTGCTGTAATTGTGGCTGCTTAGTTATAGTTGATTCGCTAAGTGGCCGCCTCTCCGCGTGCTTTGAAATACTCGCATGCAGCAATTAAACCGCATTTTTTTCTAAACATAAATCTTGCCGTAAATTGCAATTCATTAGCATTGGCAGCTAAGAGAAATTGTGTTTTAGCTGAGCATCTGAGTCAAGAGTAGATCGCATTGGCTGCAATTATATTTTTATTTTCATCATAATAAAAAATACCATCTAGCCTTTGCACATTTCCCTCTGCTTGCTCTTTATTTACTTTCTATAATTTAAGTTTAACTCATTTTGCACAGTCGGCTCAAATTCCAATTGAAAAAGTATTTTGTAATCATATCTACCTGTACATTATATATCTTGTTGCCGGCTTTTTGTTTATGACAAATTGCATGCATATATAAATAAGTTGAGGGAGCGGAAGCTAAGCAAAAATAAAACAGGTTTTCGAATTGTTACTTGCTGAATATTGCCCGATTTGCTTGTCAGCTGTCTATAATTATAATGAAAACCAGATTTATATATATATATTTTTTTTTTCGAACATATCCTTTGTCCGCTATCTTATAGAGATAGCTTCCACCTATCTTTTACATCAATATATATATATTCATTACTGGAAATATCTCCTCAAGCCCTGACATGGTTATATCGATAATAAAAAATACCCACTTGTTATGTTGAGATATGGAATCCGTGCTAGTGCTCGACGGGCTTATCGTTAATTTGATTTCAAAAGAATTCCTTTCAAATAGATAGACCCCAAATTCTGAATCACTGACAGGCAACATTTTAATGTTCTTCTTGTTCAGCGGTAAACATAATTCATAGGAAAACCAGAAAATACATTTTGTGGCCTCATTCGTATTATTGTTTATTTAGTTAAAATTGCAAGCGAACTTGAACTAAACAAAATGTTTTATTTCCCCGATTCTTCCTTTCGCTCGTGTAGGTGGCCTGCACAAACTGGAAACGGGTGCTGATGCTCTTGACGGGCAAGTGGCAGAATGGCACGGATCCGCTGCAGATACCTGGCTCGCTGGCGCATTCGGTGGGCATGTTCACCAAGTTCTACGATCTGAGCGAGGAGGAGCGCGCCCAGGTGCTCAGCGAAGAATACACACGCTTTATTCTGGTGCGGCATCCATTTGAGCGGCTGCTCTCCGCGTATCGCAATAAGCTGGAGGGCGGTTCGCCCAGCGCACGGTACTTTCAGTCCCGTGTGGGTCGACAGATTGTGCGGGAGCTGCGCCCCGGTGCTAGCAACGAGTCCCTAAATCAGGGCAACGATGTTCAGTTCGGCGAGTTTGTACAGTACTTGCTAACGCCGGAGCTCAGTCGCACAAACCAAACGGACTACAACGAACACTGGGAGGTCATTGCCAAGCTGTGCAATCCCTGTGTCATGAAGTACAACGTTGTGGGTAAGTCACATGATGGAACGCTCAGATGACACATTTTCTAAACAATCATATTTCCCTTCCAGGTAAATACGACACCTTACTGGATGACTCCGCCTTGGCGCTGTATCTGGCGGGTGCCAAGAACCTGACATTCCCCACTGGCCACAAGCCGTCCAGCACGCGCGCCAATCTGCGCAATTATTTTGATCCGCTGCCCATTGGCGCTATACGGCATCTGTACGAAATCTATGAGGAGGACTTTCGTCTGTTTGACTATGGCATGGATGATGTTCTAGGCTTTGAATTCGGCTGATTACTTACTAAATATATATGTTATATGTATTTATAAAAGTGATTTGTAGCATCCGAATCAATTATACTGTGACCATGACGCTTTCCCCTGGAAATCTTTGTGATTTTAGTAATATTTAGTTTAACAGATACTTGCTAATAGTTTTGTAATTGTAAAATTAATTTTTAATTCAGCGGCATGCGAATATTAGCTTAGTATATTATAAATAATACAATATAAGGAGGTTTTATGTTATATATAACAAAGAAATAACTCAAATATCATTCTACGACATATACATAAATGAATTTGTATTCTAATGTGTTCGGCAATTATGTGTTTATATGTTTCTCTTATACGTAAATATTTTTATTCCACGTTTATCAATTTTATCCCCTTCATATAGTATCTTCAAGTTGTCATTATTAGTTATATAATAATTAAATGTTACAACTATTCCAAAAATATTAATTTAATTATGAAGTTTATATTTTATATTAGTTATGTGTATAAGATCTTAAGAAGTTATGTAAATACACGAGTTTGTAGCGTGATTAAATTTTGGATATTTATATATTTATATACTTGACATTCTAGTTTAAGGATTTGTTTAGAAATCTAATAATATTTCCTTTTGATATATTAGAGTATTTTATATCGCTATACATACATTAACATATTTCTACGCGAATTAGTCTCACTTTTAAAGCTGTCGTCTTATATGTGCCGGAAAAACTTCTTTGTTTATCAAGATATATAAACCAAACTTGGCATTTATTCGTTTCACTTCCTCCTCATATAAATGCTAAATCCTATTGATATCAGACCACTGTATCATATAGCTGTTGAAATTTAAGTCCTTGTAAGAACAACTTTTTTGTTTTACATATGAGCCCAATCCTTTTAATATCGCACAACTATATAACATAGAACTATAGGAAGAATCGGTTGAAAAATGCGCTTTGTTTGGCCAAATATTCTGTTTTTCGAGATATCAACGGATCTTAGCATTTAAGAGGTACACAGTTCCCCAAAGAGAAATGTCTTTAAGGGTATTATGCTTATATTTGTATACTCTGTACACAAAGTATATAGTATTCTTTTATTTTAAAAGTTCGTTTTAATGGCAAAGTTTTAAAAGCATAGCTTTGATCTTACAATCCTAGAACACAATAATCGAGATACTTTTCGACGCTGTATTAGGCAGCTTCACGAGCCCTGACATGGGGTATTTAGAAGTCGATGGCTGTTTACAGTTTAATATGGTACCTTGTTTTGATGCATAAATGATTATAATTATTTTTGCTTGGCATCAATGAACTCCCTTATCAGCTGGGGTATACGTATACGTGACGTGATAAATGTTTTTTATAATAACATTCCACGATCATTGACAAGCGTTAAGATTAAATTTCTTGCCCTTACAATTTCGCGAAAGCTTCAACATTTTGCGACAGCAAAACACGAGAAACAGTTCTTTCTTTGCTACACCGATGCCTGCATACCCTGTCAATAACGTTTCTTGTTTTTTTTCGAATCTAGGGGGTTCATTAATATTTACTTAAGAGTTTAATAATATATATATTTAACTACTATTTTTAGAAAACAAAAAACAGGTTTGAATGGATTTCAGGAGTTAATCCATGTTAAACACTTCTATGAATGAATAAAACGAGATAATACACTCGTCGGTAGACTGGAGTTTATAATGTCTTATAGTATGACTTAATGATACATTCACTACGATAAGATTGCCTAGGTTAGGTTGGGTTTGGTTAGTGCGGTAGTTGACGGGACTTTACCCCCGATTGTCTAATACCATTATTGTTCCATCAAATGGATTACTAAATGTATTTATTTGTGATAACGATTGATTTTATATGTGTGTGAAAGCATGTATGGCATTCTTATCTACTGTATGTATCAAATAGCTTGAAATAGTTTGCATGCTGTTCGGCAAGTGTATGAAAAAGCTCAATCCGTTGACAGCGGCGTCAGATTTGTTTATCACCAACACATGGACGGGGACAACGTAGACAGATGATCAACGTTCAAACGAATTTAAATACGCAATTTTGTCAACATGGTTCAGGCGCCGACGGCAAACGCATTTGCATGGGCGACCATCAACCCGTGGTCATAATTTGGCAAGTGTATCCAACGGCTTTTATCGACAACATGCCCCCACGATCATTCAAGGTTGTCAGATAATTTGTCAATGTTTTTGTGTGTTTCTTTTTGCTTATCCAATGACTGTTGCTCTTTTATTCAACAATAACTTAAAGTTAAACATTGACAAGACATTCGAAAATAACAATTAATATTTGCATGTGTGCTGGTTTCTGTGTGTGTGTGGGTGTGGGGTGTACATTTGGTTTCGTTTTCTCAATTATAATAAAAACAAAAGGCGTTCATGTATCATATTCTCGTTTCTGTTTCAGTCCTTCAATTCGCATTTCCGCTTTGCATTTCATTGCAGCTGTAGCGCTGTTTTACGCTGCGATATTTCTTCAGCGAGTACAACGCCTCCACCTCCTTGGCGAGGTATCGTCCCTGTGCCAGCAGAGCGACAATCTTTTTGGGATCGCGCTCATCCTTATTCTTTATGAACGCATCGTGAATTTGCTTGCGAAACTTTTGCGGCCCATTCAGGCCAGGGTAGTCACGACCCAGGTATTGTAACTGCAATGAAATTTACGCAATCTTAGTATCGATGCCCCTTCACCGGCCCCCTTGCCTAAAGCTGATGCTGCTGCTGTTACAGTGCACTTGCACGTGGTTCAGACAATAAGTGGCATATGCATTAGCAAATATACTTACGTGCTTGTAGAGAGTGATAACTTTGGAGCGCAGCCCTGACATCACCAGTAATGAAAGGTATTTGTATAACTGTTAAATGCAATATATAAACTAAATCTTTATATATTTTGTTGCTTTATACTCGCTGCGCAGATGACCAATGCCGAAGGTTGTCGTGTGACCGTTTATATTACCGAAAAATTGCGTATCTCCATTTGTTGTAATCGATAGTTAGGGTCAGCATAAGTTGGCAGCGCCTTGCAATGATTATCAACAATTTCAAAATGTTTGTGGGTTTTTGTATTGTTTTTAATTGCATTAGTTAAAAAAAAAACTCGATTCATCATTAAATGTCACATATCTTTGAGGATTTATCACTATTTGATTGACGACAAGATGTGCATGTCACTTATGACGTAATTGACATAACGATAGTTTTCCTGGTAAAAGAAACCTTGTAGTTTCGATAATGCACGCTGATAAGTATCGACTGGACTTCAGTTGGCAGCACTCTTATCAATGTTCGTGTCAGCCGGCCGGAATTTAGGAGGCCTATTTCGGTAAGTACGCAAAATAAAAGGAAATTATTTTTATTAATTTATTTCTTTCATCCTGAATTTCATAGTTATCGCAGCATTTCAACTACCTGCGCGAGAATGGCAAGTGAGGTAGAGAAGGCGCAGAGCGCAGCGGCATCCGAAGACACTATTTTTGGCAAGATTTTACGCAAGGAGATTCCATGCAAATTTATTTACGAAGACGAGAAGGTCCGGTACAAAGTGCACATTTTGTCTATTCAATTATCTTAATTGAACTTATCTTGTTTAGTGTGTGGCATTTAATGATGTTGCGCCCCAGGCGCCCACCCATTTTCTGGTTATACCGCGCAAGCCAATTGCGCAGCTTTCTACGGCCGAGGATGGAGACGCCGATCTCTTGGGCCATCTGATGCTGGTGGGCCGCAAAGTGGCCAAGGAACTGGGTCTGGAGAAGGGCTACCGCGTGGTCATCAATAACGGGCAACATGGCGCCCAGTCCGTTTACCATTTACATTTGCACTTCCTGGGCGGCCGCCAAATGCAGTGGCCACCTGGGTAAGAGCTTAAATGGCCGCCTTAAAGCAAACAAGATAAACAATTTAAAGAAATAAATACACCTTATTAAAACTATAAAACAGAATGTACAAAATATACAGATAAAAGCAATGTAGATTCAGTAGCGTCTGGATGGAAAGTATTGCTTGAAGTCGACGGCATTGTCGAGAAATTTTCGCAGTTTGCCCTCGTTGCGAGATTTCTCGGCCAAGCTATCGGGGTCCAAGCAATTGAGTAATATCTCATCTGCACCCAATTGGCCGGCAATGCCACCCGAGCGACGTAGCCGGCGCGTTTTCAACATATCCAGTTTGGTACCCACCACTAGGATGGGCACGTGGCGACGTTTTAATATGGGCCGGAGCCGTCTGTGGCGATGCCGACAGATCTGGCGCAATGGATGATACAGCAAATCATGCAAATTGTCATGCGAGCTCATATCTAAAAGATCGTACACTAATATAATGCCATCGATGTTGCGAAAGAGACGATTCCTATGCTCGCGCGGCATTCGCATCGAGCTCTTTAAATCGTAAAATTCCACAAAATATGGGATCATGTCACACGCGGCCTCCGCCCTGCGCCGAAACAGCTTACACGAGGAGCCAAAGCGCTCTGAGCTGTGCGAGGAGCTGGGCGACGAGGACGATGTCCACTCTGGTGTCGGGGGCATACCCTTATTACAGGGATACTCGTGCAGGCGCACCTGCACATTCCACCAGACGTCGCCGACGCTCCTAGTGGAGGGCGTGGGCGTGTCAACGCTTCTGGCCAGCAGATCTGTCAGCCGGGACTTACCAACGCCTGCGAAAATAACGACGTTCGATTATCGGATTCTATATATTGAGTGAGAGAGAGAGTTACCCACCTGCTTGGCCGAGCAGCAATATGCGAGCTGTGGAGACGTGTTTAATTGTTTGTTGCGCCATTGTTGCTCCAATTGACTTGAGTTGTATTGTAAATATATAACATGCCTGGGTGCTGTCAAATATTTGCGCAAAACAAGCCAACTTCGATCGTATTCTAAATTTAATTGGGAAAAAAGTTTGGCGCTTTCGCCCAAGAAATATCGAAATTCTGCTTAACATCTCGATTTATCGCAGTTCGCTTTCGATCGTATTAGAAAACAATTTAAAAATGACCGATTTGTTAAAGATAATATTAAATGTTGTTTACAGTTAAAATGTATGTGACTTTTTTCGGATATCATTTGCATTCTAAAGCACAAAATTGGGCGATCGTGACGTCAAAGTTTGACTGCCATTGCGCTACACCTTCGTTTACAGTTCTGTATTGCAATGCAAGCCTGCAAGTTGGCGCGGAACTTGAATTTATGATTATCGTGAAATAAAACCAAATAAGAAGTAGTTTTAATAGTTTCAAACATTTGTTTATTCTTTATAAACGTTTTTCATTTCATGTCATTTCATTTGTGTGTTCACATCAGTGTGTTTGTGGTATAATATATCTACAGACGCCGTTGTTCTGGGTGTGCGGTTGGAGATCCGCATACATCTGCTATCTTTTTAAATTCTTTATATTTTTGTTTTTGCTTTGAAATAAAAGTTTATACTTCTTGCATGCAATACAGCTGCATCATAATGCATATATAATGCAGTATGTCTTTTAATCAATCATATAATTCAATCGCTTTTGCTTTGCAGTTATTCAGTTTGCAATTAAGTTTGGTAAGAGCTTTTAAAACATATACTTGTATGTATTATGCATGTATACTATTATATACGATTTCTTTTTTGTCTTTTTTATTTATTTTTTATATAGTAAATATAATTTTTTTAAAATTCGAAAAACAGCTATAAACAGTTTATCATAAACAACAAAACTCCGAAACGAGCTTAATGATGTGGTGAACCTCATTTTGCGACTGTGGTGAGAATGTGTGGCCAGTTGCTTTGGGTTTTGACTACCGCTGCATGAAGTACCTGCACGTTGTTGAAAATGTGTAAACTGATGGAGATGCCCAAATAACGGACCACATTCAATATACATAGATGCCTCAAACAGAGCAACCTATTAATGTATGGGATAGGTAAGTATATATAATTATGTTTTATATATATATATATATATATGGTATGGATATTTTTCATACTATGCGGTGCTGTAATGATTATGTATAAATCTTCGTTTTACTGGTATTCTCTTTGGTATATATAAAATTATTTTTGCTATTTTTCGTAGATTGTTTGCCTGGTATGCATGTATTTATGTAAATATGTATGTATGTTATGTATATTCCATATGGGTTTGCATATAATGCGCACGCTATGTGGCCTTTAACTTATAATTCAACATCAAACATTGCCCTATATTTTGGTTTACCTATTTTTAATTATATATTTCTTGCTTCTTGTATTTGCTATTCTTCCATATTCGCCTAACACACAAACATACACGCATTTGTGTAAGTGCAACTTTCTCTGCCAGATCTAATTCGCAAACCGATCCTCAGGTGCGCTCTATATATAGTATATTGTTTATAGTTTTGTTATTTATGTTTTTCGTATGATGCTGTTAAATGCATTTATGCCTGATTTATTGAATATAAATTACATACATAAATATCTAAAAATAAAAATACATACATGGACATCTACAGCTTTTGGTATATTCTTTTTGTATTTTATTTTTTAATTTTTTTAACTATTATTATTAATACTTGTTTTTTTTTTCTTTGATTTTTCTATTTTTGGTTTCCAACTACTGATTTGTGCTTTTATTGATGGCTCCTGCGCTGCGTTTTTACCGCTGCTTGCATTGAAAACGTAGCAAAATAATACAGATACATGCATACACTTTGTATGCCTAACGGTATGCTTAACGGTATGGCTAACGGTAATCATAGTACATCCATATTTATAATACATACTGCAGTGTACGATTTTTTGTTTTGGTCAGTTCATGGGTGGCTCTGTGTGGATGTGTGAGTTTGTTTTAATTTCTGTGTGGTTGTGTTTGTGTTTGTGTGTTTGATTATGTACATGTTGTCAAGGTATGCACACTGTCGTATAAAATTGGGGACAGCGTAAGTCGTTTAGAAATAAATATACCAAACTGAAGAAAAACGCAAATGAATTTAATTTCGATAATATTTATATATGTATATGCATATATATATATACAAATTTATATATATATATGTATATAGATATATATATATATAAATTAGTTTTTTTATATATCATTTGCTTTTATTCATTCATCAGTTTAAATCAATAATCAACATCATTTCATATAATTCCATATAATTTGTTTAATATTCAAGTATTTTATATATATATATATAGTTTGTTCTTGTTTTCTGTTGTTGCTGTTGTTTTGGTAAGTTTTGTGTTTTTGTTTAGAATTGATAATTTGATAATTTACAGTAATTATTTGGAAAAGCAAAGTACGTATTCTTTGTTTTGGGGTTTATTGAACAATATTCGTAATTTATTGCAGAATTTGTTTGCCTGTCTTAAAGACCATTTTGTTCTTGTAATTTAGATGAATTATATTACATAAATATTTGCTTGGTATATTGGTATAATCAGTTAGCATTATATTTGTGTCTGTTTGAGTTATTTTAGTTTTTTGCCGTGGTGAACATCACTACAAACAGTGTGCGGGACTTTGTCGATCCCGATCTACGCATTATAATTATTACATATAATTATTATAAATGTTATATATCATTTTTAAATATTTTTTACAGGACAAAAACATCTAATTTAATAGTTAATTTTACTTGCATTATGGAAATAATCAATAATATTTATGGCCAGCTCTCCTTGGAATGCTTTCAATTAAACTTGTTTATATTTAGCCATATTAAGCAGTTTTTATTTATTTATTAATATTTTTATTTTTTTACTTTTTGCCAGTTCATTGAAAATACCAATTTAGTAGGTTTGTGCACAGGCCGCACAACATTATAGAAGTTTATATATAAATGTATATTGTTAAGATTTCATGTATATATATATATATGTATATATATACTTGAATATAATATAAATAGTAATAACTATTATTGTTCTTAATATTTCTTGTTTTAACATTGTTTTTCTTTCTTTCTTTTTTGCCTTGTTAATAATCATTTAATTAGTATGTATATATATATATATATTTTTATTAGGACCTAATATGCTTTTCCAAATTATCAATTATGATTAACAAATACGAGAAAGTTAGGAGTATTAGAAACCTTAAGAGTTCGACATAGAGCAGAAGCAACTCAAAGGAAATCATTTAAAAACAATAGATAAGCTTATAGATTAAACAGTTTACCAAAGAATATCATAAATCAGGATCCATAAGGGATGAATTCTTCGATATAAGTTAAGTACTTTAAGGTTTTAACTGATGATATATTCCATTGAAATCACGCTTTAAAGTTAAACTTTTGTTATTTGCTTTTATGTTTCTGATGTTATTTGTGTTTGTTCTACTTATTCCTTTTCTTCTTCTTTTCCTTTGTTTTTAGCCGATTTGTCAAACGTCAGCATTGTGTATACATAACATAAGTCTATGCAAAGGTTATACATAAATGGTTTATATTGTTTATACTCGCAATATATTTAGTTTTTTGTTTATTTTTCTTTGCTTCATATGTCTGGCATGTACTCTCATATATGTTGATGTTTATATACTTACACAGTTACAGTAATACATAATGCTCAATAATTAAATATAATAAATAATTTACATAACAGTTTATTTTCATCTTTTGTCTTCTGCTAGTTATTAGTTGTCATTAGGTCTAATATTTTCTTCATCGATTTACTAATAAACTTTAAACAGCTTTTGTTTTCCTTCAAAGTCAAATGAAAACTGGTAAGAAAATTGTTTTTTTTTTTATATAGACGCTTGACTAGTTTAAAATGTTATTGAACTTAACGTTTTAAAATTATGATTTAGTTTGTTCTTTTACCGTTAAATAAATGTATGCATGTATATTGAGTATATAGACTTTATCAATTTAATTTTTAACATACTCGTAGAATTTTCTTTTCATTTTCATTTCCATATTCATTTTCATTTAACTATGTTTTGTTTTCATCTTTTATTCGAATGATAACATTAATGTTATAAACATGAAAACGAATAAATGACTTTAATTTGAAATAAATTTGATAAATCTAATTGGAAAATCTCTAATTTTATAGATGGACAAAAAATTGCTTTTGTTTATAGGTATAAAAATGTGATGGATTTAACTTAAACTTCTAGATTTCTCTGAATGGAGCGGTTTTATATTTTTTCGTCGTGTTTGCCTATCTCATTTGTTGATAAACTGCGCAAACAAATCTATTTGCAATAACTACGATATTTCTTTTATTGATTGTTGTTGGTTTTTATTTTTGTGGGCTCTTGAGGTTCTTGAAGATCAATAGTAGCTGATGATCCATACGATTTCAATGTTGACGGTTTGCTTGAGTTCTCTTTGGTTTTGCTTCATCTTCAATATGTGTATGTACGTGTACTTTATCCGCATGATACTAAGGTGTGCTGTTATTCTATAATAAAATAGACCAATTTTTAATACGATTAAAAAAAACTGTTTTCAAATTTTAATTATATACGTAAACATTCTGGGTTTAATAAATAAAGGTCCTATTATTAAGATGAACAACAACGTCCCAAACATTCCACAATTATAAGTTTACAAATTTCGTTTCTCTTTCGTTTTCACGGGCGACCGATCCTTAACATCTGTAAGTTAAGGGATGCCAAAGAAAACAAATGTCCGGCAAATTTCTGTTGGATTTGAGCCGGCAACTTCTCGCTTGTAAGTCCTTCGGTCAGATATCCAAGCAATACAGTCTCATTCATACACTTCTTCGACCATTTTCACCAATTGTAGATCCAATTACAAAACCCAAAAGGAAGTTATTACAGAAATTACAGGTTCCTAGGTATTACTGCGTGGACTGTATATTGATCACCAGTCAGTCAGTTAGTCAATGCAAATAGTTATATATAGAAATAATAAGATTCTGAGTTGTGACCAACCTGCAGTTATCAGCAATGTAGCGTTTACTTCATATTCTTTAGTATTTCGTCAGTTTCCTCGGGATCCTTGAGAGTGTGCCATTGGGCTATGGGTCGACGTGGGGAGGCCAGCATATCGGACCAATGGCGCAACTCAGTGCCGGTGCCCATGCAGCCAAGTATACAGCGTCCAATGGGCTCAGAGGTGCCAATACGATCGTAATCCACAACGGTAACAACAAGACAGATTTTCTAAAGATTTTCCAAATCCGGTTGCAATAGCAAAAACATTGCGTTAGTCAGTGTATAATAATTGATGCATTATTATCTAAACGGTCTCTTTCTTGGGGCTGCTATGCGTTGAGCATAGAACTCTTAGATGGAAGAACTTTTGCTATTACATATTTTTTTTAGAGAGAGAGGTATACGTGTTCTGTTTTGTGGGTTAAGAGGAGGTAGGGAACTGTTACTGTTGACAGGCGACACTACAAACTCAGTATTAGAAAGCATTATGCATAGGCAAAGTTGACACTAAGTGTTGAACAAATATTTTGCTAGGGGTGCTCTGTAAGAACTTGGTGTAGGTTAAGATTGGTAGAGTTTCGGTCGGGAGAACCGAATCGCCTGTGTATCCTTTAAATTTTGAAGTTCTGTCAGCCAGATTACAGTTCATTTGTTATTTTAGGTGAAGAGCTTAGGAGAGCGTCCCAACAAAGTAAATTACAAGCTGAAGGGGGGGGGGGGGTTTATCTAAAGGTGGGCGACATATTTTCAAGCATTACAAAAAGCGCCATTAAATACAATTCTAAAGTAAATGAGTTAAAGCTGGGTCCATGTTTTGTATGGTTTTTCTTTTTTTTTTTGTTAACAAGCATTGCATGCACTTGACTAAGCTTTAAAATAAATTTTAAAAAATGTCATGATAGATAAATAAATATATTGTTAGTTTGTTGAAATGAAAAAGCGTATGAGTTTTTCCCTCTTTGCTAGTGGTTTAGTATATAGCTTATGTTAAAATGTACACATATAGTTCGCCCCTGTTAACCTGGGCTAATGAACAAGTTACTTTTCTTTTTATTTGTTTTTTTATATAGTAAATATAAAATGCTTTTCGGCTGTCAACATTTAAGCTGAAGCAAAAAGAAAAATGTTCATTAAATACGTGTAAACGAAAATGTATAATATTCAATCCCATTTGTCGTACATATTTCCTTCATTTCTTGGTCAGATAATACAAAAACGTTTGCGTTTCTACTTGTTTTGTTTTTTTTTTCGGGGAGGTGGGGGTTCCGGTCTCGGACTAGCACACGTAACCAGAGTTCTTTTCAGTTTTGGATGTGGTACTAGATGTATGTAGTATGTTGTTAAAAGTATTCATATTGATACGCTATACTTCTCTTTGCTGGTGTTCATTTTGATTGCATATATCTTTAAACTTGTACTGTATTTCTTGTATTTTGTAGTACTGTAGTTAAGTGGTGGTGGTGGTGGTGGTGGTGCGATTGGTTAATTCGATATTCAAATCAGAAGACAGTGTCAAAATAATGTACCCGTATATTGTGGTGCATTATTGACGCCGCTGACGAGAGTTTGCGATAGTTTGTATTATGGAAAGAGTAGTAGGTAGTTTATAGGGTTTGTAGTATTGTAGTTAAAAGTGAGTGTGTTTTCTCTTTATCAATCATCAATTATCGAATCTCTTATGCATTACATTTCCACATGGACTCGTGCACTGCATTGCGAACAGCTCTATGCGTACACGCGGTGTATTAAAGAGAGGGGGCTGCACTACTGCTCCCTCTCTCTCTGTCGATCTCTCTCTGCGTATTGTTAAACTACGGGTAGACTGTGTGGGTGTATCTCAGGCTTTGAGGCTTGAGAGTCTGTAGTTGTTACTACGAAGCGGAACAGACCTAACCTACGAGTTGTCATTGTCTGTGTCAAAATCAACATCGAACATATACAAATAGATATACATATTTTGAAAACCAAATCAGTTCAGAGCTAAGCATAAAACTTAAAATTTGTTATTTGTTAATATTTTTAGTTTCTCAATCAACTACACAACGTAAAAGCAAATCAGGACAAGATTGACTTTCGCAAACAACGTGCTGCGCTCAGCATATATTTTGTATTATTTACATCCGGCATGTGGGCGTGGCAGTCGTTGAGCGAAGTATATATAATATATATATATATAAACACAAAACATAAAGCAAAAAGTGTTTTTTTTTTAGGTTTTTGGTTAAATACAACATTGAACATAGAATACGTTTCGGTTAAATTTGTTTTTTTTTTTTTTTTGGTTTTTGGGGGGCACACATATAACAATTAATTTGATTAATCGAGTAATTGGTGGAGTTTTTGGGGGTTTTCGGGCAATACGAAAGTTGTTGGCCAACCGTTTATTTGTCTTTAAGAGTTCTTTGAGTAAAAGTGACATTGTTGTTATTTGTTTGGTATACGAATACGAGTATTCAACACATGTAATATACAATACGTGTATATAAGGTGTATATATATATATATATATATATATAAAAGGATAGTTATATAAACAACAACAATTGCACGAAAGAGGCTAGTGTGGTTTTAATTGTGGGAGGCGGGCTTGTTACTCAAACTTGTTTAGAACATGTTTTGGTTTGGTTGATAGTTCAGAAAGGACAGCTTTGGTTACAGTTGACAGTAGGTAGTAAGTAGTAGTAGAAGACGTAAGTATAGTAAGGTAGTAGTAGTAGTAGTAGTAGTGGTAGTAGTAGTAGTAGTAGAGTAGTAGTAGTTTTATAGGATAGTATAATACATTCTCGCATACTTGTATTTGTTCAAATGGTACTTCAAATGAGAACGACTCATTATAGTAAGGGTTGAGGGTGCATTTTTTGATACTTGTCTTCTTCTTTTTCAAACGTTTGCCATTTTGCATGATTGCAATTTTCACATATGGATCTATAAAATAGAAAAAATTGAAAGAAAGAAAAAGAAAACATTTTCTTTTATAATAATAAAGTAAAAAATTTGAAATTGATGAGCAGTTTTTTGTTTAGCTTTTGAATTTTTGGGTTTTAAGTTTTTGACAGTTTACACACACATATAACGAAAAAAACGGTACATAAAACGGTACTTTGTTTGATAATATATATATATTATTGGTTATAAGATAGTTAACAAATTGTACTTCAATAAAAGAAACAAACGATTAAAAGATTAGAACAAACGAAAGCAGAAACTTTGGTATAAACAGGCCAATTCCATGGAGGATGTGGCAAATATATAAATAGTTAATAAACTCTTATATGCTTTTATATGTTAGCATTTAAGGTTTCATCGCATAGAAACGTAATCAACATATGGAAAATCGCAAGAGTTACAAAGTGCTTATTAATATAACATCAAAACGATATTTTTCTCGGTTATCGTTCATCGGTAGTTATCGAAGAAGTTTGTTTCCACTTTCGATTGCCTGCTCTTGAAAAGAATTGTTAAAAATTGTAAAATTAAATATATTTAGTTATTTGGTTAACGAGTATTTTAGAACATGGGAACTCTTGAAACTCAAGGCACACAACGACAAAATCATAAGATACGAAAATATAGTTATAGTTGAAATACAAATAGTCTCATCATCAGAATTTCAGATCGAATATCATTAGAGCATGGAAAGAATGTCAATTGCTTTTTCAAAACATACTTGAAAATGTTCTTTTGTTTGTAAAAGCCTAGAAGAACTTGATAACCCTTTTGGGGTTTGTTTGTTTTTTGTTTTGTTTTTGGATATATTCAGCGGCAACGTTTTGCATTTTGGCCCCTCACTTGGAGGTCCGAAATAGTAGTTAATGCGAGTGTTTGAATTGAAATTATGTATTAAGTAGAATTAGATTACATGCAAAAGTGAAGCTAGAAGCAAGCGAATTTAAATGTACCACTAATTTGAGCCAGAGCCATTCGAATTTAGCTGCTGCCAGGCATAAGTTGAAAACTGTGCAAATTTTAGTGATGGTAACGTTGCCAGACGAGAATATATCCATGGATTGGTATTAAATGATATTAATTGATTTTTAGCGTACGCAATATTACTTAAGAGAGAATAGTATTATAAAATAGTATGCAAGTCGAAAATTTGCGCTAAATTAGTTGAAAAAAAATCGAATGCTGCGAATTGACAAAAGTAATTAGGGAACAAAATTTGAATATTTTTGCTCTCTGCAAACGTTGCCTTGCCGTTTGCATTTCTCCGTTTGATCGTAACAAAGAAAACCAAAAAGTGTACTCAAATTATTAATCAGATCAGTAACAAAGCAATACCAAAATTTAATCACACTTGGTTATATACGAGTATGCACATAAAATAGACTCTGAAGCGTTGCCAGATTTGCGAAATTGATCCGACTCATGTGAGGAATCGTTGTTCGCAATTTGGCAACGCTTTGGTAGCACGCTATATTACCAGACAATCCACCGACGTCCATTTTCTTCAAGTTCTTGGCCTCGAGAATGACAACCGTCAACTTTCCAGCGGTCGGCACATAGCGCAGCGAGAAGCAAATGTCACCAAGCTTTTCCTGTTGTTGTTTGACAAATAGTTAGAAAAAAAAACATTTTCGTTGGATTAGTGCATAGGCTAAAATTCAATACGGGTTCACAACATTGAACACTTTACATAAAGTCTAAAAAGGTACATTTAATAAGATTTATATACGAATATATATTAACTGGTCGCAAAAGGTTTTTATTTGGTCGAGACAAAGGCAGGTCGAGACCATCACAGTTCGCAAAAGCTGTTTAAGAATCCTGTGACACTTTGGGCATACTCTTCGGTAGAGATGAACGATAATTCGATAACATTTGATTAACAGAATGTTATCGATAGCAATGCAGAGAATTTTATTTTTGAAGAACATTTGAATTCGTGGCGAATGAATGCAAATTCTTATTATAAGATATAAAAGTTAATCACAAGCCCTATTAAGAATTACGATTCATAGAATATAAAATGAACTTTAGTTAGATTCTCGGCAAAGACACAAAGGTTAGTTTAAAAATTTTTCAACCATAAGTCGAATCTCCATAATTATTAAAATTTGTTTTTGTATTCAACTGCAATTCAATAGGGATCAGTGGCAAACACCGCCTAGGTAAATTCGATGGAGTAATAATACGATAAATAATCGATATATATGTAAAAACAAGGGTACACAAGATAAACAGTAAGACATTTTTACCCAATTCACATGAAATAAGGAAATACGCAAATAGATATATCGTATATATATGGCTTACAGGGATATATATTGGTAGATGGCACAGTACGAAGTACGGAGTATACAGTTTTTGTATAGTTAAACAATGGTTACATTAACTTTATTTATAGTTTAATATTGACACAAAACGAAAACGTCACAAATAAGTACATGGAAATACATTTACTGCACGTCTTAGAGCTTCGATTTGGTAAAGAGTATATGTCTGTATATATATGTATTTATATATAGTTGGTGTATATAGATATATGTAAATAGAACTGAAAATTGATTATGAAATTAACCTAAACAAACAAAACAAACTTATTTACTTTTGTTTGCGTGTTGTTTCTTTGTTGTTGTTGTTGTTGTTGTGCTTGTTGTACGGGTTGTTATATAGAGAATTGTTGCAGACTTACTGTTCATAATAGATACAAGTCATAATGCTTATAGACAAACTCTTTTCGAATTGTTAGTTACTTATGTATATCGAGTCACCCAGCTCAAAACCAACGGCGCAAAAAGCAAAACGGATATTTATATATGTATATATATATATTTGTTTCTTGTTTGATGTTGAAAAGAAGCAAACCGAATATGTGAGTTGATAGAGAGATAGTTTTGAGATATAAGACAGCCGATTCGTATAATATGTACAGTTTGGCTACGTTCTTTGGATAACTACATGGGGGCCCGTGGCCTCAAAAAGTACTTAGTATTTAGGAAATCAAAAAAATAGAGAGAGAGGAGAACGAGCTAAAGTTGTGAATATTGTTTAAATCTATGTACATGAAGGCATCACAGAGTAATTAGTTATATATTACAATTGAAAGAAAGTGGCACATGAATTCGCTAGCATTATCTAAGTATTTTAATATTAATATAAACCCTTGGTTGGTTTGCAACCATTTGCCTTTGTTTGGGCTTAACTTTCAGTTTCAAATTTTCGATTTGGATTTCGATTCGATTTAGCAAACTTCTATTTTATTGATCGATTGGGAAATCAACTGCCAATTGTTTAATTCAGTTCTCCAAAGCCAGCAATTTGTACAAACTAACCGGGGATTTTGTGGAATATTTTGTGTGTTTGTACTATATAAAACATGTGTTCTTTTGAATAGTTATAGTTAAATTAAATTTGTTTATATAGAGAGCGAGCGAGCGAACGAGCGAGCTTTATATAGTAACAGAATGAGACAGAGGAACAGAAATACAGAGAGAGAGAGAGAGTTTTTGAGTAGTCACTTACCGCTACTTTGACTTGAGTTTGAATTTGAGTTTTTGAATTGAAAGTTTTGGCTTTGCATGGGCTTTCAAAATGTCTCAAGACTTTAATGTCGAATGTTGGGTGAATTATGTTTATGCTGACCAGAATATAAAAATAAGATTGAAAGTAAATAAACAACTCAATAAATTAAACATGAAAACAAAAATAATAGTAAATTAACATTTGTTGATCATTTGTTTTATATATTTGTTTCTGACTGTCATCGAAGCTCTGCTTAAACATTACAGCACACAAACAAGTTGCAAATCATAAATAAATAGTTATATAATTGCATTATACACTAATCAGTCGGGCGAGACAGCGATAGAGTTAAAGAACCAAACACAAAAAATTGCTAGTAATCAAATTACGAAAGAAGCATTTTAACAATTACCTTAAAAAACATAAAATTTATTCACGCTTTTACAATCGTATGTTTAGAGTTAAATCATTTTATTATGTTTTTTTAAATTTATTTTTAACTTTTGCTTGGTTTTTTTTTATTTTTTTTTTGTAAACTGAACAAAACACAAACACAACGAAAATAACTTGAACACATTTATGAGGACAACAACCAAAGCAAATAACGATAATTATGAAGTTTCTCCCAAGGAGAGTATCGATACTTACATGTTTCCGATTAATTCAGTGGGATTCCAGATGTCGTTATCGATTATGAGACAAATTGTTTCGAGTAAAGTAGAGTTTTGATATTGAATTTTTTTTTTTAGTTTCAATTTGATTTTTTGTATAGTTGCAATTTGGTGAATTTTGAGTCGATTGTATAGATTTTTGTTGATTGAATTTTTTTTGTTTATTTTTAGCGATACGTTCAAAAATAATTAAAGAGAAAAATGAAGAGCATATTAAAAATTTTTCAATTGCAGTTCCATTAAAATTTCAATAAGTTGGCAAATTTGAAAATAAGAAAATGTTTTGCTTCAACGAATTTGATTGTGTACAAGTTGTTCGCGTATCTCAGTGTGTGTCTGCGTATGTGTTTGCTTATGTGTGTGTGTGTATGTGTAGTCGAAAGTTAGTGTAGAGTACTTATTTAAGTGGCATTAATGTCTTAATAGAGTATATAGTCGGAAGAGTATAGTTTGTAAGCAAAATCATGCAGTTTGGTTTTTCTTGGCTTGTGTCTTTATATATGTTCGAGTATATGTTATTTCAGTTGCTAAACTAGTTGCTTATACTAAATTATTAATGAATAGTAAAATTAATAAGGCATTTTGATTTATACCATTGCAGTTAATTCTATGTTATAAAAGTGAAAGAATATTCTCTTAATTATAAAGCTATCAATTACAATGAAGTAAATATATTCCTAATCAGTCTAACTAGTCGAGCCGATATAAATATGTCCGTCTGTCAGTTTCTCTTCATTCTTGTCTCTCAGTTTTAAAGCTACATGGAAATTTTGCAGAGGTCTGTCCTTCTGTGGCCCGTACTATACATTCGAGTTCGACCGGATCGGACCATTATATTATATTATGTATATTATCGGTCAAATTTCTTTGTTTCACTAGATGTGTAGACCAAACTTGACTTCCATTTAAGCAATATGTTATCAACATCTGTCTAACATATCACATAACTATATAGGATGATTCAGTCGTTAGTTTTTGTTCTCTCAGCAATTGCGAATAGTTTACCCTTCGTATCTACAAAACCCTTTGCTATCTGTCTACTAGGGTATTTGTTTACTTATAGTATATTTTTATTTATTTATTATTATTTATTATAGTAGCAGAAAGTTTTCAAAAAAGTTGACTTGAACAAATAGTAATATTGAGATGTTTTCTGCAAGTGTATAGCACATTCGGCTCACCGAACTACTTATTTGCTCTTCCTTTACTTTCTTTTGAATATCTTTTAAAATTTTGCATTCGCAGGCGAGATTTGGGTTTATGCATTTTGTAGATAGTTTTTCTGTGTACATGTCAGTAATTGGGTGTGTGGGTAAGCGTGTGTTAGTGTATTTGTTTTGTTTGTATTCAATTAGTTGGTCCAATTTAAAATGACTTATTTTATGTGTGGGTTTTTGTTGTGTGCACAAGTTTTTCGCTACTTTAAGAATTATATGCAATTAGTTAGCTTAGTTTTTGTTTGGGGGCTTAAAACAGTTCGAATCACGGTGCAAAAAGAATGGTAAAGTTGTGTACTTAGCAGACAGGGAAGTGTGCGAAGTTGAGTGGAAAATTTGTGTCTAAAGTTAAAGCTTTTTTTCTCGTTTACCAGCATGTCTATATCAGATATAGAAATTGCAACAAATTTCTATAAGAACCTTACAAAATCTGTAGGCCAATCATATATTATATATATTTCTTATGCCATGCTGTTTGCTGTTTAGAGTATTTTTATGCCACAAATCCTCTCAACAAAATAATATTGCAGTGTAATTATTTGCATGTCAGAATGCTAAACAAGTTCTTATACAAACAATTCAATAGAGTAATACAAAAATTCAACTACAATATTAATGATGCGAGAAAAGATGCAGACATAACAAGAGAAAGTTGTAGAACGATGCGCAAACTCTTGTAAATTCTTATGGGATATTAAATAAGATTGATTATCTTGGATATAGTACAATAGGTTGGGTTAGCAGGTTGTGTGTTTGTTTGCGTGTGTGTGTGTAGTTCGATGCATAGAAATTATTGTTTTTATTATAGGATGTAAATATATTGATACATTGGAATGTTGGAGTGTTTACAAGAGCGAGAGACCATAGAGACAGAGCAAGTTATATAGGATAAAGAAAAACTAAACGAATTGGGTATGCATAAGTGTTTGTTATTGTTTTTTGTTTTGTATTTTCTTTTTAAAAGTTTAGTATTTTTTCATTGTATTTACCTTCTACAAAAGTTCAAGAAAACAAGAGTTATATTTTGTAATATATTTATGTATGTATTGAAAACAATTTGTTGAGGGGGAATTGGAGAAAGAGAAATTGAAGAGTTTATATTTCAGTTGTAGATATTTGTACTTTGTGTGTTTGATTAAATTTTTCACACAAACCAAAAAAGAAATCATAAAGCTTAAAATTGTTAGATTGAAAAATGTGCAAAGAAATCAAATTCAGTATTTACAATCTTTCATCAACTTTGTCAGGAAAGTTGATCAAAAATTTACGGAGCTTGTTTTCCATGTTGTCTTTGTTATTGTTGTTGGTTTTGTTATGGGATTCAATGGAGCATTACAACTGTAATATATATTGTATATATATTTAAAATTGATTTTTATTTATATTTGCATTTTGAACTGGGTGTGGAAAAGTTGAATAAAAGTTTTGCGCATTGCTGTCTGTCATTTGTTTATGTTAATCTTTGTTGTTTTTTGTTATTTGCTGTTGTCTTTGTAAATTGTTTCTGTTGTACTTATGGACAGAGAGTGGAGCTGGGGTAAATACTTTACTGGAGCCGACACATTATTCAAATTGAACTTGTTTCAAATACAAATACCAAGTTGGTCGGTTGTTAAAGTCTTTATGGTAATGCGAATTACATACACACTAAACACAATTTTGAGGAGTTCCGATTATACCGAATACTCTTTATGCATGTCTAGATTACATAGGTCACACGCTTTTTTGAGTTTTTTGTTTTCTGGTTTCTGGTTTCTGTTTTCTATAGTTTGTGGCTTGTTCTGTGGGACAACGTAAACAAACCCAAATATGAACACAAAATTATAAGCAACAGTTGTTGTTTTTGTGTCTGTTTGATCCAAAGTTAAATCAAATCAATTTAAAACAAATATTTGACACTTAAAGGCACATTTAGTTTGTTAAGTACATATACATACAGAATGGAAATACCAGGTAAAAACCGCCCTTACCCCCAGAACAAAAAAATTATTTGTGTATTTATATACTGTGAGAGTTGCCATGGGCCAATCTCTACGTACCTGTCCACCCTCACCCTCAACGCTGATCAGATCACGCCATTCCTCAATGGTTTGTGCCAAGTCGATGGTACACAGCGGCACCTTCACCTCGCCGATTTGGTCGTGTTTCGAGAAGCGGTCAAAGTCAAATATGGCGAATACTAGCGTCTTATTCATGGCATCAGCATACGGTAAACTCTGCAGGCGAACTCACAGTCAATGTCTATCACCAGGGAAGGTAGGTTCAATCGAAATTTGAATAACAAACCTTGAAGGTGAATGTTTCATTGAAGACAGGACTCAACGTTTTGCGGTGCACCTTTGTCTCAAACTTCTTCTTCTTATCGGGCAGCAGATATACCTTCACATAGGGATCTGAGGTACCGCCCATGTCCAAGGCGGGCAACTCCTCGGCCTGTATAACGGTTACGGCCAAGCTGTTCGAATTGAAGTCGTATTCAAGCTGCAATATATACATTATAGAATAATATCCGCAAGTGCGGTATTCGTTCCCATAAAGAAGAAAGAGACAAAACAAACGATATTAGTTAAAGGTTTACACAAAATTTCCGAAAATTGCAATGTGTTATGTGTTTTGTGTGCTGCGTTCGAAATAAGTGTAGTTTTTTTTAGCAGATTTTTTTTTTAAAATATAATACTTTTATTTCATTTACTACAATTTTAAATACTTTTTCAAGATAAATCATTTTTAGACGTTTCTTATGCCAAATAACATTGCAGCTGATGGTACTTGAGTAATAGGTTTGTTCTGGGCAAGGTCAAAATTCCGTTAAACTTATAACTTATACAGAACTTTATTAAAAACTTAAAAGCTTTAAAGGTACGTGACAGCTTTGAGTCGGATTAAAAAAGTGAAACCTATTTCGGCTTAAGTCAAAAGCGTAACTGTAGAGTTGCAATCATCCTCAGAATTTAAGCTGTTAACGCATTAAAGCTTTAAGCCGGAGTTTTATTTATTTTATGTTGAAATATGAACTGAAGAGCTTTATTTTTCTAATGATTTAAAAATGTTACATAAGTCTAAAGCCTCAAGTTTATTTTAAAGTTCAAGCTTAACTTGAACGCACATTAAAGCTTCAAGCCGAATAAATAAAGTGCATTCCCTTTGCTTTTATGTCGAAAGCTTAACTGTTAATAACTCAGATATATTTTAGAGTTCAAGCTTTACTTGAAAGCACATTACAGCTTCAAGCCGGATAATCTAAGTAAAACTTATTTTTTTACAATCCTCTTAATTTAAGCTTTTGGATAAGTCTACAGCTCCAGTAAAGTTCAAGCCTAACTTTCAGCTGATGTCAATTGACGATAAGTGTATGAAAACGTTGTTTCTCGGACATTGAAAGTATTTAAAAATATAATATATTGTCTAATATTAATTCAAGTTGAATAGATTATCAAAAGAAGTTTCTAAACGAAATTGTATGAATCACTTGTGTTTATTTTGACCAATACTAGAAATGTTGTGAGCATGTGATTAAGTTAAAAAAGGCAAAATAGTTTATAGATAAGGTACGTATTTCTGGCACTCTCGACGCGACTTGACTTTACTTGACTTGACAGGTGTTTCCTTTATTTATGTAAAAAACAATAACAACAACGACAGTGCATTGACATTAACTATATCTGGTATTGGGTTAGTTGGATTAGTTGAGAGCTTGTTGCAGGCCATTTGCAAATTGAGTTCAATTGGTTATGAGCCATGTAAGGCACGGATCTTACCTTGAAGTTAAGTCGCCCCAGCTTCTGTTCGCTCTGCTTGTCCTCTTCGTCGCCTTCTTCGGCATTTTCGGTGAGTTCCTCCATATCAGGCTGAACCTATGGCATACCAGAACCCAATAACTACTAAGATTTGATGGCATTGCAGATACTTACTTTCTCTTTGTATGCCGATCCCAACAACTGTACCGATTTCATATCGACACCCTTCTTACCCTTACCATCTTTGGTTCTTCGCTTCTTGAGGAATCTGCGCACACAGAAAAATATAATACCAAAGACGACGAGGAATACGAGTATTATAATCGCCACCACGCCCCATGTGGGCAAACCAGTGCGTTCAGCAATCGCCTCGGTGACCACTTCGCCAGCATGCTCAATCTTTTTGATGACCGGCACGGAGGTGGTAGCAGCTTCTATATAGAATAATATATATTTATTTTGTAAACCAAGATTGATCTTGGTAGACAATGTGTGACCTACCCTCAGCCTCTGTTGTTGTTTTTGGTACTATTGTTGTTTCCACTTGTGCAATTCTTTGACTCTCGGCTGCCTGTTGCTCCTGCTGATCCAGTTCCCGAAACTTGGAGTGATGTGTCGTTTCTTCTATCTTCTGATTGGCCGCCTCCAAGTCGGCCGCCGGCTCATCACTCGACACAGGCGCCGGTTCTGGCTCCGTTTCCGATTTTGCATTTGGCGGCATATTGCACTGTGGTTATGACTAGAAAAAACAACAGAAATTAAGAAACTGTATTAGGTCTAAAAATTGTATTCATATAATGTTTAAAAGTTGTTAATTTTTTAACTTTAATTTCTCGTGAAATACCCAAATTTTTGTGGTTCTCTCTGCGTTTTCATATCATCATTGGACACCAATATTAATTACCGTGGTGTAAGAGTATATAATATTTTAACTTTTATTTTGTATTTCGAATTAATGGAAAAAATCTGAAAAGTTTTATTGTACTTCCATAAACATTGTGTGTTTATTTTGTGTAAGATTTTTTTTTTTGATTATTTTCTTAAATTTCTTATTTATAAAATTTCAGATTACGAACATATTAGTTCCGACCTTCTTATTCTTATTCTATATATCGCCTCGGCTCGCCGAAGATTGAATACCCTTAACTTAAAATTTTGCCCAATTCTTCCTATAAAGCTATGTGGTATAGAAGTCCGGTGTTGACAATATGAAGCTTAAGTGTAAAGATCATAGTAAAACTAATAAATGACGGAATTGGACATGATATTTTGTCGACCGTACGTTCCTTTTAAAGTATATAATATAGCATTGAAACATGGAAACATTGGTCAATTTATGTAAATAACAATAACCATATTAGTGTGCTCTGCAAATAAAGCATTATGAGGCAGAGTCGCTTAGGTATCTGAGAGTCAGACCAACAAGTGGAAATTCAACAGCAGCTTTATTTTTTTATTTTTCTTTTAAAGAAAAGAAAATTGTAATAATAAAGTCGTTGTTAACATTCATAATTTGAAACGTTCTTTTGTTTTGCTACAATACTGAGTACTTAGTTTAAGGATCATATTCCCGTCAGGTTTAAGTACTGCAAATTCCTCAAGTTTTTTTTTATGACTTTTCCACTTCGAGTTATTTGTTATATGTACGAAGCATTGAAAACGAAATTGAGTTTTATATTGTCTTCACAATAAGCTCGTTATAGTACCCATGTCTGTTTTTTCCCAGCATCTTAAGCTTAAAACTATTAGCAAGCAGTTTGTAAAGGACCTCAATTTATTCCAAACAATGTCCTAACTAAAAAAATGTTTATGTTTTCTTGTTTTTCTTTTGCCAATCATCGTTTAAAAATAGCTTCAACAAAGTTGTGCGAAGAAATCCTAGAAATGTCGTTGGCAATTTAGCTCGGCATATCCTGGAAACACTAGAAATGCGCCGAGGGTGTCGACAATTGGCGCAGCAAGTAAAAGTACTCATATATAGCATGCCAAGGACACGAACGCATACACTAAGGCGCCCACACGCACACTCTCGTACAGACTATCAGCTTTCCCAACGCGCACGCACACTTACATACACAATATCAGCTTTCTCCACGCACACATACACACAAAATTGACAACGCTCGCATTTCTTGAAATTTTTTTTCTCAATGTTAATTCATTCAGATAAAACTACTTGTGACCTTTTCGCTTTTATTTTTTTTATTTATTTAATTTTGTTTTTTATTAATTATTAATAAAATAAGTATTATTTACTAAGCCAATTTCATTCACGTTTAATTTAAACGCTTTTGTACATTGTGTGTGCGCGCATAGCCTTTGACCTTTCGGTCAGGAGCCTTGCGCTGGCATTTTTCTTTCCAGTTGCTTTCATATTTCTTTGATTGACAGTAAGCTGCTTGAAGCAAGAACTTGGGTAGACATTGTTTGAGATAAACTTAACATAAAATAATTGCCCAATTAAAAGTTGAATGGCATGCCATCAGAGCTGGCAACAGAGACATTTATGGTATGGTATTTGGCTTGGGTATTGATAAATCTTTGCTTTGGGGCAGAATTTATTGGGCCTTTGTCTTTCTTTAAATTTGTATCAATATTTATATTGATGAAAGAGGAAACTTTGGTTACCGAGAATATCTATACATACTTCCACAAATTGGAAATGTAATTTTGTAATTTTATCTTCTCTCGGTCTCCTTGAAAATATTTATAAAGAAAATAAATAATTGAAAATATGGAATATTTCAAGCAGCTCCTTCTTAGAAGGCGCCGTTTTGTACAGTGAAAAATAATTAATATAGATTTTTATTAATTTTCATACTTGAATATATTTTCAAAAATGTGAATAACCAATTATTAAACTTGCCCAAGCTGATTTAAATAATGTATAAAAGGATTCATATATAAAAATATTGCCATATATATAAATAACGTCTTATGTAACTTTACGAACTTCACTTAATTTTAAAGAAAATATGCAAAATAGTTTAAATATATTTATAAAGATAAGCAGCTAAGTTGAAAATTGACATTTCCAGCATGTCGTATACGTAATTTAGGCTCACAGTGGCCGCCAGTTGCTTCTAAATGAGCTAAGCTAAGCTGCTGTTGCGGTTGCTCGCAAACCAAATGACGTCAAAGGCTACGGAAAACTCAACCTATACCTCCACACAGTCACACACAAATACACACACACATAATGGAAAATAAGCACACCCACACACTCAGACAGCCTCGAGCGACTTTGTTCATAAATATGCGTGAAATTTAAATGAGCGGGCAATTTTAATACAAATGCCTGCTTATTTTGTATGAAACTTAATTGGTGGGCGGCCATTGGGCGCAGCAGTCGCATTTACCCTATAAGACGCAGTATTTTAAAGCCATTTGATAGGCTTTCGAAAGCATTCGAGCCTTGTTCTGACCACGCCCTTAAGCTGCTGCGGCAATTGTGACGCCATTGGGACCCTGCAGCAGTTACTTAAGCAAACATTGGCGACAGCTTTCGCAAAATCAATAAACTTAAATGCTTAGCCCAAAGACAATTTGAGCCTCGGCCCAGCAGTCAAGTGCTCCCAAGCCGGGGCATGACTCCCAAGCAAAAAGCGGTGTCAATTTGACGGCAGTTGGACTAAGTGCGCTCCAATTGGAGATTGAGCTTGAAAGATGAATTTAGACTGAGAATTTTGAGACCTTTTTGTGTGAAGCTGAAAGAAGGGATCATGAAATCTATCAAGCATGCAAATATTTCTTTACGTTTGCTAAAGTAAATATATTTGATAGATGGAAATGAAAAACCAAGACCACGCGGATTGGACTTACAACTTATTTTAAATGGATAAAGCAACAAACGCATCAATGGAAAAGTATATCACAAGTCGGTCTAGCTCACTTCCGTCCGTCTGTATGCCCCCACTATTTCATCGGACAAAGGGCCTAAAATCTAAGATCCCACATTTGCAACTCTGGTTTTCCGTCTTTAGGGAAATTCACTGAATATCCTCAATAATATGTATAACAAATATATAATATAAACAAGGTCTAAGGTAACAGAATATTTAATTTTGTTTTGTAAAACTCTCGCTTACATGTTCTCTTTTTGCACTCTAAGCACTTTCTCGTTCTCATTTGAGCACACATCAAATATTAATGCCACAAAAAAGTCCAAAGCAAGATGATTGCGCCCCTTACAAAAAGCTTGCTAGAAATAAAGAGCCATCTCAGAATTGGCACATTCGGTACGTGATGTTTTATTAATACTGCAAATCACAAGCTGAATAACGTTTTCCATAAAAAAGGCCAAACGGCCACTGAGAAAATATTGTAAGGAAAATGTGGAGAAAATGTGAGAATACTGTCATAAAAGCAGCAACAAAGGAGACAGCACAACGATTTATAGTCGTTGTGTACGCTTCAAGTGGGCAGTGCATCTACGAGATACTTCTTTTTAGTAGCAGCACACGCAGATACACGCACTCACATACGCACACGCATGCATTTTACTGTCGCATACATTTGCGCTCAACTACAACAATATTTGACATTTTGCCAGCGCTGCTTTTGTGCTTTTGGCTGCGTGCTCGCTCTCCTTCTCTTTCTGATTCTCTCGCTCTCTTTCTGGCATTAAGCACACGGGTCAGCTAGGTGTGCATGTGCTTGTGTGTATTTTTTATGATGTGCCTGGTGCCCATTTGTCTGGCATAGTCGAGTAAAAAACGAAAAACTACGCAGTTTTAACTGCGAAACGAGTGCCGTAAACAATAATCTAGGTGTTGCTTTTGTTTATATAAATTGGTTTTTATTATGTGACCAGCTTTTTCTTTAATTGTGTTTTATTTTACGTTTTTATCACACAAACACATTAAAGAGCCCAGTAGAGTTAGCCTGGTAAAACTAGTTGGGAACTACAAAGACATAAACTGCTTGCTCATTTAAGTCAAAGTTTGTTTGTTTGTTATGTTTAAAGTTAGAGCTGAAACTGCATGGGAATTGTAATTATAATATTCTTGATTTTATTTTAGCTTTTTTAAAGGCTTCGACTCCTTTTTCGTACACATTGTGACCTTTCATATTATAAGCTGGGGCACTCGCTGGCCCAGCTGCATTGCACCTGAGATATAGAAGCGCAAAAAAGGCTAAAAATAGCAACAACTGGTTGTCATTTAGATTAGGGGCAAATTAATTTAACGATAAGATAAATTGACTTCATAAAACATGCAGCAGCGAGATACATGAACAAAGCAGCCGAAACTGTTGTTGTTACCCCAGTGACAGGCACTCAAATTGCAGGTCAACGTCAAGAACTGACAATCAGGCTGTCAAAACAAATTAAGCTCTGGCCCAGACGCACGGCACTGCCAAATATTCCACCTGCGAATACAGCAACAAACATGACGCTGGCATGTAATAGAAATAGAATTAAGTGTTTTTTTTCTTTTTGAGTAGGCGAGGAAAACAGGAAGGCGACCCTCAGTGAAGCTCAGCCATTAATTGTTAAGCTTCTTCATTCCCTGATAGTCGTTGAGCAGGAAACGGTTAAACTTTTGGCGAGAGAGCGCGCCAGAGAGAGAGAAAGAGAGAGAGACATGTGTTTTGCCTTGCCTCTCTCCAGGTCTTTCGCTCTCCCTCTCTCTTTCTTTCACTGCGTTTCCTGCGCACATAACCCAGAGAAGGCAACAATATAAGTTAAAAGCCGTGGGTAGAGTAGCGCGAAAAAGAAACCCAGACGAACGGCTAACCAAGTTAAGGTTGCTGAGGCGACAGTCTCCCAGAGGCGATGATGATGATGATGATGACGATGGCAAAAAGAAAACTAATTTTCCACATCATTATGCTTTTCGCTTTCATTGCTATCAATACTCTGTTATTCAGCTGCAATCTTAAAAGCTGCATTCGCACACACACATTTCCCACGTTTATTGTATCAGGGTCCGTTTGGAAAATATATTTGGCATGGGCGTAAGGGGTCAAAAGTACGCACAAACTCTATAAGGCAGGCCAGTGTGTGCGTGTGTATTTATATATAAGTGCCACTCTTTGTTAGTGTGTGTGTGTGTTTGCTTTGGAAGCAGCGTCGACTTGATTATTGGCAATTATGTGCGGTTTGTATATGTTCTACCAAAAGAACCTCACACATAATTCGTGCTAATAAAAAAAAACGCTTATAGCGTTCAACATCTTCTGCTTCTTGCCTTGATTTTCTTAATTTTGTCTTTTATTTTACGTACATATTTTATGTTGATTTTTTGGCTCACAGCTCAGCTAATTAACAAAGAGCCGACAGGCAAAGAGCTGCTTAATTAGGTTCAGCTGGCCCTTATGCACAGTTGAAGGACACAGTCCCCGAGGCAGGTAGATTATCTCGAGCGAAGCTAGAAGCATAGATTAAAAGCAACTCAATTTGTCTGATAGACTTAATGTATTTAAGATGAGATGAATATAATATAATATATTATAAATCTTTTGATATTGAAGATATTCATAACTTTTCTTATCCCAGAAAACTGTCAACTTAGGCAAAAAAGTAAAATGAATATATATATTGTTAGATTGTTACCTTAATAGAATATTTGACTAAATAATAGATATCTTATTAACATCAAATGGGTATTAACTTAAGACTGATACTTAAGACAAAATGAATATGTATCTTATTATTTATGCCTAGTTATTATCTGCGGATTAGACTGTTCCTTAATAAATGCCCCAATAAGTATGCTATAAATTATCAATAGCTTTATTTGTACTTACCTTTTAGTAAGACAATGTTGCCAATGTATATAAAAGGCGCAGACCCAAATAGTTTATTGTTATTAGAAGTTAACGTAGTTTTCTGAGTTTTTTTATTTGTTTTGTTGGTTGTTCCTTGTTGGGCTTTGAGCAACGGTAAGCGAAGCGTAACGTTGGAACTTTGATCCGGCAGGAGGGCGGAAGGCTCAAGACGGTCTCAGGCTCGGGCTGCAGGCAGACGAATCATGTGAATGATGTGAGGGGGCTGAATGTGTGTTGTGCTGCTTGGCTAGTGAGGCCTCTGCTCAGCGCTAGTCTCACATGTAATTTGAACACTGTTGTTATCGATTTTCGATTATCGATTAGCGATTTACGATTGACGATTTGCAGGACGGTTGCGAATTTAATCGGAATGTTTTGTTGTTCAACGCGTGGTAAAATATATTTTTGTGTATATTATGCCAGACGTGGAAGCGCAATGCAAGCAGCAGAGAGAGAGAGAGAGAGAGAGAGAGGGAGAACAGAAAACAGAGCGTATACGTAATATTAAAAATACAATGGTATGCGTAAATATTGATAGAGCGAATCTCACTGCCCGTTATATGTCTGTATGCGTGTGTGAAAGTGTGTTTGCGTTTCTGTGTGTGTTGGTGTGGTTGAGGGGAAGGACAAATTCGCTTTTGCTGCTTCTGCTGCTGCACGAAGACGTTGTTGAAAGCAAACTCAGGATAGAGATTTTCTTACAGCCGTTTTTTTCTCTAGAGCTTTTCTCTTCTCACTAACATGTGTACACACTGTTTAGCTTGTACAATTTTGGGATTTATTTTGTCAAGTTATTAATAACAATTTTCCACTTTTGTCTTGATTTGCGAGCTCTAGCAATTTGATAAATTTTAAAATCAGCAGCTCAATTTTCTTAGTGGGTCACGATGCGTAAAATCATGTGGAAAAATCAATATTTAAGGCAGGCACATCACACGCGTTTTCACTTTCAATTAAATTTTCATTATATAGGCCACCGTTCATAATATTCTGGTTGCGTTTTTTCGAGACTCGAATAATTATTGCAAAAAATTTTCAACAAGCGCAAATAAATTTGCTTAGGCATTGCCAAAAATTCTGATATACAAAAAATGTTCTGCTTTTTAGCACAGCGCGTGCCATCACACGCACACACACAAACACCCACACAAATAGAGAGAAAGAGAGTAAGAGAGACACATACACACATACATGAGCACACGCACAACACTTTTCGGCCCTTCGTTTGGATTTTGCTTTATGTAATAGCTCAATTGGCATTAAATTATGATATTTTAACTATTTGAATTATTTTTTCAACACTTTTGCAAAGGGTTTTCTTGGAATTTTGTTGCTGTTGCTATTTGTCGTTTGGCTCTGCAAACATTTTACTTTTGTTGAATTTTTTCTTTTCATTCACCTTCTGTGCAGCGCTTTTCACTTGCAGTCAACTTCCACGGTCGATGTTCATTCGCGTTTTGGGCCACACAGTCAAGGAGCAGCAAGGAAAAAGCCCTCAGACAATTTTCAGTTGCCAGCGAAAAGAGCGAAACGGGTCAGGCATCGATTTTGCGTTGGTGGCCAGCGGGTGGGCGGGGCTTGGCCGTGTAGACCACAGCAGAGCTTTTGAAGAGATTGTAGACTTTGACATGAATTAGGCGAGCCAAGTTCGCAAAATCGTTAACTGTGATTTAAGTTCACGCTTATTTTAGATTAAGATGTAAGATGACAGATCGAAAGCTCTAAAGCTTTTTTTCATAATAATTTTATGTTTCTTTTAAGACTAACATCATTCAAATATATTTTTCTGATATTAAGAGATAATATAATTATTTAAATTGAATTCTAAAAGTTAATCTATAATTTAAGATTTATAAAAAATGATATCTGTCATATTAATAATACAAGTAGTAGTCATTTAGTTTAACTATAGTATGGTATCTTAGAATCTGTTTTCACTATGGTATCATAAAACAGATTTCAGTAACTATTTACTGTGCGAGTTTTACGCAAACTGCCGCAAAAGCTCATTCCTTCTCTCTCTCTCTCTCTCTCTCTCATTCATTGAAAACATCTGATGCGCAGCCACATGTTTCGGCAGTAAAGGTCCCCATAATGTGAAAAGTTTCGGTGCATGCGTACTGCCAAGAATATTTCTCAATGACAATGGAAATAGCTAAACGTATACGCGCATGTGGATGTCAGAGCTTTTGCAAGCAACCCGGCAAGGACATTGTCTGTGTGGGGGTAGCACAAAAGCTTTAATAGTAAAAAGCTGTGACAAGCTTTAAAGTGTAAGCTTAAGTGTGAATCTGCGTTACGGCTACTGTGCGACAGATGGCGCTTCACATTTTGTAGCTGGCGAAAATCAAACAATAAACTTCCAAAGTGCTGCGAAATGTGAAAATTCAAATGCATAGACAGCATCATTAATGGGGCAGCCGGCACTTCCGATGCGCAATTACGCATGGCAAACACAAATCAAAATCAAAATTCAAATGTGATATGAAAATCATGTCCTGGCAACAGCCCGAGAGCCAGACGCACGTGATCTACTGCAAGGATGAGCTACAATTATAAATTGTACCTAATCAAATAGATTTTCCCAATAATTTCACTTATTTATAAAGTCAAACCGACGGACACATTTGCTGTACACATTTTTGACATCAGGGGGACAAGGCAGCAGGACACATGCATATTTACATTTCGTGCTCAGGACATCAGCGCCCAGCAAACAAATGTTCAAAGCAAATAATCTATAAATGTGCCTGGGTCCTGACCGAGGTACTGACAAGGATCGGGCCTGCGTCCGACTTGAGCTGCGCCAAGAAATGTCCTTCTGCCTGATTGCTGTTTGCAGGAGTTCGTGCTGAAATCATTATCCTGTTACTTGTCATTAATTCAGCATATCAATTGTTGTTGTTGTTGTTATTGTTGTTGTTATTATTGCCACTCAGTGCGCCCAGCCGTTAAATTAGCAGCTTATAAATTATAAATTTGAATTTAATTGGCCAACTAAGAGCTCCAGGGAGTTATTGTTATGCCTCCATTCACAGTTTTAAGTTTAGTTTTCCTTGTTTGTTTTCTTTATGTTATACAAATTTAAAGCTTGTGATCTAGAACGAAAGCCTACGTTACGAATATGCTCTAAGAGATCGTCCTCATTGGTCTTTAATTCGATTATCTCAGTTCTTCTTTTACTTGATCTACAACCAGAAAAATCTGGAAAGGTTTTTGAATAATCATATTTAGATGAAGATTGGGGGCTTGGCAAATCGAAAAATAACTCAGAGAAATAACTCCGAAAATAATTTTAGCTGTTCTTATGTCTTTTCGGAGAAAAATACAAAGAATACATTTACCAGTCGGACAAATTCGACTAGAATACGTTTACGAGTATAATCGTTATTATTTTCTTCGCTATAACGTGCCTTTTTCGTGTTAGTCAATTAATGTTGATGTCCTTCATGGTAACTTTATTTCGAGTCCGACCCTAAACACTAAATACCCAATGCCAAAGGCAAAAAGTTAAGATAGAAAAAAATAAGTTGCATTTGTGGGTGGTTGTCATCAACGAAGAGTTGGGTAGTTCGTCACTCGTTATGTCCGGCAACAAAATGCCGACAGCCAGAAAGCAACAAACAATTTTGTCCGAAATTCTAGAACATTTAATGCTTTATTATGAACAGTAAAATACATAAAAATTGCTAAACGGGAAATGCGAGTTGGCCAACGATAACGATTATGGCCAACTGATTTATGCGGCTTTAGTTGCGGTTTGGTTTACGCTTTTATGGCGGACACTTTAAAGAAATCGCTGCAGCTATCGAAAGCACCCAAAAAATAGGCTTCAGTGTGGTCTGCCCGACTAGCAGATACCCTGAACCCAGCGTCGAGCGACTGTGTAAAGGACATATACTTTGCTTAAAAAATGGTTTATACAACGGCCATTCTTTGATGCTGAATTTTCACGAATTTGTACAAAATGAATATATCCTTTTTACGTGTTCTCAATGGGTTCAGGGTATAAAAATGCCCGTGACATCAGCTGCATTTCAGCATTGGCATCGAAATCATCATCGGAATGCGATGCAAATGACCACAGAAATGCATAAACCGCTTCAATTGTAATTAAACGATTTCATATATTGCCTCAAACGAGAAATTACAAATGCAACCAAAAACAACAACAGCAGGAGCACAACAATCACAATTGCAATAATCATAAAAGCAGGCAGCGCCGATCGGTCAGTGAGGATGCAATAATACCAACAATAACAACAATTAAATTAATGTTGAAAACAAAAAACAATTTATTTTGTAGAAAATGACGCACAGCACAATAAATGAAAGCGCCCGTTTGTTAACAAATATATCAAAGTGCTGGCAGGCAAATAATCAAATCACACAAATTTTAATTGCAGCCGCTAAAAAGGAAAAAAAACAAAACCTAAAGAAATGTAAGGTTTAAATATAAGCTATATTATATACCCTAAGCTCATTGAAAATAGGTATAATGGTTTCGTGCGAACGTACGTAACAGGCAGAAGGAAGCATCTCATCCCATGTTCATATATCGATATTGAAGCATGTAACTTCTTGTAGAGTGTATGCAGATAATGGATATTTTTCTGTATAATAGAACCTTGCGCTTTGGTATATACACATAGTTCGATGCTAAGATATCTCCTTGTCGGGCAAGAAACTATTATCGAAACTTGAATAATTTGCAATAATATTTACCCCCTTTCAAGCTCAGTATCTTTCATTGCAAAATAATATTAATAGAATATAGTTGGTTTAAGATACGCTTTTCCAATGACTTCCAGAGCAGATCTCTTTATATTTATTTTAGAATTCAACAGTTTAATCAATCACTTGCTGTGAACAACTACGATAAGGCACAAATCAGGCGAGCATCAACAATATTGATGCCTACCTAAAGTTCCATTGCGTAAATTGATAAATCCTTTAATGCTTCATACACACACGCACACAACAACTTTACGACAACAAAATGTTTATGTATAGTGAGGGGGGGTGGCAGCACGAAGAAGAAGCCAACTTTCGATTTTGGCAAAATAAATCCACTTTACAGATTGAGGCACAAGGACACGCAGCGGCAGGACCAGCAGCCCATGGGGGAATTTCAATTCCCGCTAAGCACAACGACAATAAACTCATTGAACGGCAGCAAAGACAAACACGTGCCCCGCGCGCGCACACGCCGAGGGAGATGGCGATAGGCTGGCGAACAGAGATGGCGAACATGTCGTGCTCGCATAATTGAATTCATCAAAGTTAACTCGCACAATTGTCGAACGGCTGGATGGTTTGAGGTGCCTACAGCTGGTGTCCCAACATTCGCCGGGTTAGTTTTCTAAAGTTGTTGCCTTTGATGATGGCGTTGGCGGCACTTGCCCAAAAGTATGACGCACAAAAAGATTTACGAATTGACAAAGTGCAAGTAGGGTTTTGGGGCACGGCACGAACCAACAGAGGTTGTGGATGAGCCTAAGCAGCGGAGCACAAGGCAGACGCTACATTGAGAGGACATCCGCAGGCAATGACACATACGACAAACAACTTGAAAATCCATGTCAGTGTCACGTAGCAGAGTGCCTTCCACAACAACAACAACTGTAAGAACAACAACAATATGAAGAAGAAGCTGAAGATGATGTAGGCAGTCTCCAACAACAACAATGGAAAAAATCACATATCCGATATATCGAAGCTCTGATACACTTGCCATGCAATTCAGACGCAAGTGAAATATCAAGTTTCAAGTTAATCGCAGAATGATAAGAAATGAAATGTCTCATCTGTACGGCTCAAGTTTTATTTTGGTTATGGTTTTATAAATAATTATTTGACTTTAATAAATTTGAATAATAATAAAACTTAAATAATAATATAATAGATAAAAGTCCTTAGATTAAAACAATAAGTTATTAGTACCAAAAATTGGCTTTTAATTCTAGAATTTCAAAGGCCTCTTCCCCTTTTCGAAGCTTGGACTTGTTGAGAATTGCAACTAGCTGTGTGGCAAAGTGAGGCGACTTTTCCTAGATTAGGTCATGTCATATCTGCTATATCTATAAAGATTCTACTGTTTTTCGTGTTTGCTTGTTTTTTTACCAGTGCTATTTTTGCTGCTGATTGGTGTCTTTGTTTTTCTTTTAGCTTTATTTGCCGCTGCTGCTATTGCTATTGTTGTTATTGTTGTTTATCATCATTGTCATCATCATCTAGTTCATCCGGATCGCTGTGTGCTTCATTGGCCTCGTCGTTGTGCTTGTCTGTGCGGACTCGTAAATGCGTGCGCTCGCATTGCGTATACGCCACGTGGCACGCACTTGATTAAGTCATTCGTTTTCAATGTTTAATCAATTATGCAATGCTTGCAAATTCGCAAGCTCGCCTTGATATACCCTATATCAGTCGATGGCTAAGTTATTACGCTAATCACTAAAGCTG